CCAAATATCAATGGTCTTCTGGCTGCTAAAACTTTAAGGCATTCTCACTCCATTTTTTGAGTTAGTGTGGTCAGCTGTCCTCTAATGTTTTGTTTAGTCTAATACATGCTTTTAGCACAGTCTTCGAAACTCATTGGAAGTTCATGGTTTGCTAAAACTTTAAGGCATTCTCACTCCATTTTTTGAGTTAGTGTGGTCAGCTGTCCTCTAATGTTTTGTTTAGTCTAATACATGCTTTTAGCACAGTCTTCGAAACTCATTGGAAGTTCATGGTTTTCAGTTTCTAAATTACGTAAAAACATCAATCCAGTTCCATATCAGAGTAAATATTATTTGATTATATAGACTTATTTATCATAAAATCTGCAAAGTTTGACACCATGAGGTGTCACACATTTTAGGCAAATATGCTTTGTTTCCTATCCTCTGAAACGATGCAGAGCAAGCACCAGGATGAAGGAGGATAATCCCTGTAGTAATGAAATAACCATGCACAATGACTGAACAACAAAAGGAGAACTGGACTTGAACACTTCTGTATCTGCTGCTGGTACACTGCTGAAGGTGCTGGTACACCTTCACTGGACAGTTTTGTTTGGGTTTTGGGCATGCAGAATCATTTACTGACATGAATATTCGGTGGTTTTTTTTCCCCTTCAGTTTATCCGTTTTCTCTTTGTTCCTGAAAGCTAGTAATCATCACAACAAAACCTTTACACCCATCAGGGAAAAAATCTCATGTGTTGACTATATTTATTGCAAAGAGAATTAATGAAATAGGCTTTCATTTCTCACTGTGTATTCTATCTCTGGAGTAAACTCTTTTTCATGATTATACCCTTAAGTCAGGAGAAGGTGATTAAAATTAGTTCATAGCTTCTAAGGCCTGTTCACGTTCAGCCTTAATCAAAAAGTGTCTGTCTAGAGGAATGAACGTAAGCTGGCAGGAGACATTTGAGGAAAGTATAGTGAGGAGGCAAAACATTTTTCCCTCCCACTGGAGTGTGTTCGGAGAACACGTGTTCACTTCTCTATGAAGAATTTTTTATTATCAGAGCAGAAGGTCAGAGGATGAACATCTTTCTGCACTGAGAAATGATTTCTATCTTTTCTTTGTCTAATGTTATTGGCATACCAGGTGGATGGAGAACTGTTGTGCCATAACTGATGTTTTTTTTCTTATAAGCAACTACATATCAGTAGCAATCCTAGTGGTCTTGAGCAAAAGACTTCTCTGTACCCAAAATGTTAGTTAATGCCTTCATAAAGATATTTTTTCAGAGTGCTTAATAATAGTTGCTTTGAAGAACTAGGTGTATCTAAGCTTACGTGAAGCTTCTGCTGTGTAAGATTCACACAGTATGCTAATTTTCTTCTTTTCATCTGAAAATTTGGGTTTTGCCTGTATGAAAACAAAAAGCCAAACCTAAAAGGAAGATCCGTTTCCTTAAAGCTGTTCAGCTGGGTTAATTTCTGAACGTAGACTCTGTTGTGTCCCAAAACCAGAGGATCTCAGGGCGCTCTCTGCTAATATCAAAGCAACTATCGTGAGCTACTTATGCTACTTCTCTTGTGCCAAGGCATTCAAGTTTGACAGGAATTCTGTTAATATTTTACTACTGTATTTTCAGCCTGTAAGACTTTCATAGGTTAGACTCTTATTTTTAGGAACTGCTTTCTGATGTTCATGTTGAGTAATTATTCCTCAGCTAAACCCCTCCTGAGGTTTTGAGTTCTACCTGTATCATATAAGGTTGGCATGATATTAGGCACAGTATCCCTTTGTTCACCAAATTGTGTTTGCTAACTTCATTAGATCTTAACTGCTTTCCACTTAGTTGTGAAAAGCAGAATGTTTCTGGAGTTTGTGAACATATTTGTCTGAAACATTCTCAGCAAAGGCCCTTGCTTGCTGGCAGTTATGTCCATTTTGAGCGAAAAAAAACCCAAAATCGGAACTCTTCAGAGGAGATCCTAATGTTGTTAGCGTTTAGGAAAAAGGCTGAAACATAAAGTCCTGTAAATATGAGGTTTTTTCACCTACAACACTACTGATGTTTTTGAGAGTAAAAGCAGAAAATAGTTTGTTTTCAAGTTGTGGTGGAAAGCAGCATGGTTTATGAAATGTTGTATTTTTGGTTTGTTCAGAAGCTGAATTACAGAAGCTGAATTTCATCCTGGATAATAGAACAAATAGAAGAGCTGCAAAAGAAAGTTGCCTTGGGTTTGCCTGCTGAGACAACTATGGTGCTGAGGATGAGAGACTTTGCAATATCACGTTCACTAAATGTGCCTGTTTTCTGGAATAACCTTCCAATTACCACATTAACATACTTTATTTAAGGATTCCATGTTACTTGATTTGCTAAAAATTGATGTTACTAATACAAAATATTTTCAATGCGACCTTTTTCGGTTGTACTATATAGGGCACTGTTCTGTGTGTTTTCATTAGTAATCGATTTGTCTGGAGTCTTTTCCACATGAAAACCAGAAGATGTTAAGCTTATACAGCACAAACTTATTTTTAGTGCCTGACAGCTTTATCTATTATTTTTTAGAAATCCTTTTTGGACCTTAAGAAACCTCCTTACATAACCCAGAACATTTTAAATCCACCAGTTATTTAAATCCTTATCAATTTCATCTAGTTTTAAAGTCTCAGATTTTTCAGTTAAGTAGATCTGTCAGTTCTCTTGAAGCATTGTTGGAGAGATTTCTACTTTTGAAAGCAAATTCACTGTTAGTTGACCTTCGTTATTTTTAGTGTTATAGCAGCGTCCGTAATGTGCTGAGTGATAGCTACACTGATTTCAAAGGAAAAAGCTTCTTAAAAGATAACAAGAAAGTGAAGGAATTCACAGCAGGATGCAGCATGCCAGTTCTAAAATTAATACCAAAAATGCATCTATACTCCACACTTTTTGTATTCCTTTTTTTCATTGGCTTCTTTATACATCTTAACAGTTCAAGAATGTACTCAGTATCTTACCATGAACCAGAAAACAGCCTTGGCCTATGCTAATCATTGGGGGGATATTATTATTTCTTCAGAGACCTGTGTTGCTAGCTTTCTATTAGACCTATGCTGCATAAAGCAGAGGTACTCCTTGGTGGAACAGAGCCTATTCTGGAAAGCTGGGGCCATTGCTGAAATGCCTCCATGCCTTGAATTACAGATTTTTCCATGCTACTTAGCAAGATGGTGGTCTTTTGGTTTTTTTTAATCTTTAAGTTATATTTAAGTCAGGTTATAAGTAAATGCGTATAGACAGCATTCAGAACATCAAAAACAGGTAATACACATGCTTATAAAAGATGTAAGTGAAGATACAAACAGCTCTTAAGCATTGAGAGACTTATGATTTAATCTTACTTAGGTATGGTTTTCCTTACCTGGAGGATAAATTTTACTCCTCTACTAGCAGAGCAGCTACATGGATTTCCTTCTTTGTGCACCTTGTACCTGTGATTGCGACTCTTTAAATAGAGATTCCATTGCAGAGTTCCTGTCTTTGTAGCCCAAGTGAAATTTCTTTTTTTGTACCTAAATGCTTCTTTGAAGTGGAGTAGTGAGCAGATTTCATCCTTTATTCATTTTACTTGCTTCAGTCTAGAGCAATTATCTAGCCATTCTCCTGAATTAAAATAGGTTCTCTTGTTTCCTTTCTTGAGCTAGATATGATCCTTTGTGCTAACTGGCAGATCCTTGCCTCTAAGAGGGGTAAATCTTTTGCCCTTCCTCCTGGTGACTCAGACATATCTCAGAGTAAAGTGTGTTACATTGGTTCTTACTTTATATCTCAGTATTACCGAGAGTATTTAATACAAATGTTGGTAGCTAATTGCTGGCTCTGGATTGAGTATGATTAGATAAAACTGTAGTTAACCACTATGAGGAAAGTGATTTCTGGTATTTTCCTCCTTTTTACACCATAGCAGTTTTCAGTAAAAAGAATCAGGTAGTCCCCCTGCTGTGCTGTCCTAATTTCTTAAATGTATTTCTGTGTGACTGAAGACAGCAGAAGTTATTGTGCGAGTTTGCAAAACTAACTGGGATATATGACCAGGTAAACGGATGGTTTCCTGCTGCTCCATACTTAAAGCAAAGAGCTAATTAAAGAACAAAACACTGTTTTCGATGGGCAAGAATCTTGTATAAAAAAGCCTTGTTTCTTTTTATTCTGGGCCGCGCATTGTCTCCTGCTATACAAATTCAGGAAGGAGTAGGGTATGGAATGAACTGATTGTTTTTAAATGTATGTTGAAACTTCAGATTTTCCCACAATTCTAATTAAATGCATCTCTTCTTTATGGGATATTGCAATTTGTGGATCACGGTTCCCTCCAGTGTTCCCTCGTGTAATTCATAATCTGTTGCTGTTGTTGCAAGAGGATAGATGAAGAGTGTTTGTGGCTGCTGTTTTGGTTATGCTGTAAAGAAGCCTTTTTCAGACTGTTAAGAAAGTTCTGACGTTCCATTACTTTACAATCATTTTGACCTTGATATACCTTCAGGCAGTTTTTTGTTTTTAAAAAAAAACCAGTAATTTTACTGTAAACCTGTTACTTAACTTAGGGGTCTGAGTCCTGTGCCCTGGGGAATTTAGCCAGAAATAGTTTACAGAGTTGCTCTCCTAGCTATCTTTTCAGTATTTCTTTTAGAACAGAGTCAACAAAAGAACATGTGCCTCTTCCTCAGTCACTGTTCACGCTTGGCGTTCTACTGCAGGCTTCTTTAGATCAGGGTGTGGGGTTACATATCAACGCTGTAGTACGTGAAAAACATGACTTCTGAAAGTCTGGGGCAGAGCCTTAGATTCTAATACAATATGCCTTCTACAAACATAACATACAAAGATTTTTCCAAAGTTTGTCACGTGTAGCTTTAAGATTTTTTTTTCAGATATCCTAAAAACAGCTTTGAGTTTTATTTTTATGGTTATAATTTTCACTTTGCCTAATATTTACACTGATTATGGTATACATTTCCTTTGCAGTTTACGTGTGAACTTGGACATGGGTAAGGCAGCCTATGGGTGGATGATTATGAAAGATGACAATATTCCTGGAACAGTTGTTCGAACTAGCACCATACCAGAAGAGTTGGGACGATTAGTTTATTTACTAACGGATAAAACAGGTATATCAGGTTACAATTTTGAAATATGATGACTTTTATAAAACTTTTAAATTTTATTCTATATTAAATTTTATTCTATATATGAGTATGTTAATGTAAGAGTAGAATTAGATTACTGATCTTGATTTATTTTTCAGTAAAATAGTTAAAGAACATGCCTTAGGGTTTTGTTGTATCAGTGCCAATAGGCTTAGGTAGGCAAGTGCTTATTATCAAATACTTTCATGTGTAATCTGATTTGTTCCAGTGGAACCGTTCCTGCTATAGTAACGGGCCATTTGGTAGCGTTGGTAAGAGTACCATAAATCAACATGCATCTCTAACTCTGAAAAGATTCTGGATTAGTACTAAAGGTGCTGTTTTATTGTGCACCTCATTTCTACTGAAATATTGTGCAACAGTAGCAGTTAAGAGAGCAAGTTCTTCAAGAGAGTAAGTCTTTTCCTAAAACTAACCTCCAGAATGACCTGTGTTACCTCTATGAAATTAGTTGCTATTTCTTTTCTAAAGACCAGTTCTAGAACTGCTGTAGGATTTTATCTTCCTAACTCTTATGACCTGGTATACACTTGACCTGGTATACTGGGAAGTCCAACCCTTTCCGGAAGGGATTGGAAGATGGATAAATGTATGAAGAAAAACAATAGCTCTATTTATGCTGCTGTTTGCTATTATGACAGAAGCATGCTTTAGTCACACGCTACTCCTAAGTCTTAGAAAAATTAAAGGAATCTTGCAGTTTATTTCGGGAAAATATCAAAATAACTAATACGAATTAAATACTTCAGCAAATACAGTATATTTTCTCCTTTCTCAGTTCTTTCTGAGATGGAATAAATCAGCTCAAGCATATATACTATTTTCTAAGAAGTTGAGTTAAATTAACTTTTGAAATGAGAAAATAATTTCTCAAATAGCTGAAGGAAGTAAAGGGTTTTTTAGTGTTTTTAAATAAAACGTACTTCAAAATACTAAAAGTTTTGAGAGGTTTTTGGCCTCTCCTGTATTGTTCAGAAAGCATAATACGCAGTTTAAATCTTTATGTGACATAGATCAACAGTCCCTCCAATGCTGAACTTTCCATTAGTGCATATTTTGAACCAAAATGTTCATTTCATATACTGTCACAGAAAACACATTTTCATATTTTTTCTATATGTAGCCTTATACACTTCTGAATGCTGCTCTTCTGTTTCATAAGAGATGAAGACAACTTGTCACCTTCTTTCTTAGCAAGTAGAAAAGTGTATTCCTGATTACAGTGTGGTAATTCTTTAAGGCAAATGAACAATTCTTCTCTTAAGTTTTATTTCAGTTAACGAATGATTTGTATGCCATTTGAAACCACTTAGTGATTTTAATTGCACCCTTCATCATGATAATTTATGTAACTCAGAGTGCTGTCTCATCTTAAGCTTGAAATATGTAATTTACAGCATATGTGTGGAAAAGAGAGGTACGTTCAAAAATAATACATTTTCAAAATAATGCAATAGAGTTCATTCACCCAAAGCACTAGTTTGTTGCAAGTGAAAATAATATAAACTACTCAAGATTTTCTGATAGAGAAACCGGTTAGCATACCAAACTGGAGGTGTGGTTCAATATTGAGGTGTCTTACTTCCAGTCACAGATTGTACTGAAAATTCTGAGGTAGTGTGTTAAAATGCTAACAGTTCATTCAGCCAACTGTACAATACGGTATTATGCAGGAGTTATATTTTCCCCTGTCTGCTTACTAGTTTACATCTTTAGCACAAGGATCAATGTACTGTATACTTTTCTGCCAGCCGATATACCTACTACCTTGTTTGAGAAATTGAAGTCTGTTTAGCAAAGAAAAAAGCTGCTGCATTTTAGCTTCAGTCCTACTTCTAGAAAAACAACCAATATTCTTAACCTAATACATAGTTATTAAAAATAAAGTTATCGTTCTTTGAAATTTAATGTGGTTATTTTTGTAACACCAATTTTAGTGACACTGGCATTTTTTAAAGCAAAAATACTGAGTTACATGGATAAAGTTTTGAGGGGATACGTTTTATAGACTTGTACATGCAAAGTAAAACAGCCCTATGTTTTACTTCGAGTTGATTTTTCTTGGTTCAAGCCATATCATGCCACTTGCAATCACAGTAGTCCTAGTAATCTTTAAGAAGCAGCACTTGTGTTCAGTCCTTTCAGGATGCGTACTTAAATGGAGCTAAACAGACAATGTTAAAGGGCTTTACTAGAAAACGTGCTTAAAAGTAGTTAGGGAGATTGCTGGCATTCAGCCTTGAAAGGCCTTTCAGAACACTGATGTCTGCTGAGGTCTGGAGGCAGGTCTGAATCTGTAAGTTAATGAGGTGCAAATGAATGTAAAAGCAGTATTCTTCTAGGGTGGTAGTTCCTAAATATTTGGGACACTAGTAGGTAGCAGTCAACCCCTAGTGTCACCCTATGAACTTTGGCCAGTGTTTGCTGAAGGGTGGTGTAAATTGGGGGGGGAGGGGGGTGGGAAGCCCTGAGTCTACCAGGCCTGAACTGCTTCAGAACGGTGCCTGGGGCCTCACAGTCTGCTGCTGTCCCTCAGGCCACAGTGGGGAAACACTGTTCCATTTCATTACAGTGTTAAACGTCCTGCAAATTTTAGATTACTCAGGATAAACATGTAGTGAATGTGCATTTCACCTGCGTATATTTACTAGCTGCTTAGTTTCCTTTCCTGAATATATTTGGTCTCACTATCAGATTTATCATGAACACAAAACATACTGTTAAGGAATGTACCGAATCTCTGTGCAGGTAATCCAAGACTGCCATTGCATGAATACACCTTGTTCACAAGAGCTGACTTCAGGACTTTCTCTCTTGACTTTTCAGTTATAACCACATAAACCAGTTGATTCTTTCCTTCTGCCCACTTAAGGCTTGAATGTTCAGAGGAGAAGGAAGACCCAGCTGTTGTTGTAGCTGCCCATCCAAGCAGCAGCTATTAAAAAGCAGGACTGAAGGCTGGTCTAGTTAAATGTAAACAAGTTAAGTTTTTCTCCATATTGAAAATGAAAGGGAATGCAGAGAACAGTCTGCAAAAATCTTATATTGTGGTCCAGGCTTCCCTGGAAATGACTGAGAATTAGTTGTTGAGTCTAAGGAGCATTGCATTACTAACATAATTGCAAGGTAGTCCTTTGTATGATTGTAAATTGGGTTTGTGCTTCATCAATAAGCTTTTTGACAAGAAGCGTCCATCACAGTGGCTCTCTCATTTGCCACAGTAGAATAGAAAATGAAGTATCCCAATAATTGCATTATAGTTTCCTTATTGTGAGACAAGAAAGCAATGTGGTATAATTAGGTTTGATTGGAGTGCATGTTTCCGGTAAGATCTGAAATTAATGATGTTGCTATAGTGACACATCTGCGGCCACCAGTGCGTGAAACATAAAGTAATTCATTCGACAAGAGAAGACATCTGTTAACTGCAAGGATGCAGAGCATATTGACACTGACCAGAAATACTAGACGTTATGTGATAAATGAACAAATGATGCTGAAACAGGAGGACAGATAATTTGTACTTAATCTGCTGGGAGAACTTTAATCTTCTCACTGGTTGCATTTGACAATGCCATTGTTTAAAGAACAATGCTGCAGAGAACTCATAAATTTTAAAACTTAACTCAGGGTGCAGCCTATTAAAGCAATACATTAATTCCTTTGTTAGGGAGTTTTTATCTTCATGTAGAACAAAGCCATTACTAAAAACACCCACTAAAACAACAGGTTTTTTAGGACTCACATTTTAATTATAGCATCCATTACCCAAAATGCCATGTTGTTTGGACTTGACTCACACATAAGTTTGACAGAAAGGAGTCATCTGTTATGGTGGTTGTGGCGAGAGCTGTTTCCAGTGTTTTCCAAGGGCAGCTGAGCACGATATCTTATCCTCTCCAACATACAAGAAGATTCTAATCATGAAAGAAAAATAAAGATGTTTGGCAATATTTATTGAACACTTTTGTTGCTTAGGGTGTGGGATGGCAAGCTTTCTGCCATTCACGACGACTGCCTGAGAATTCAGCTGTAACAAATTTATACAGTCTTCCAAGCATAGTTATCTACTAGTGCATACACTTGTATTTGAGTTCTGTAATTAACATTTTAGTGGGTATTTGGACCAAATGAGATACTTTGCAGATATAGTAGTTGAACAGATGCATAGAGCATGGGGATCCTTGATTTTCTGGGAAAGCCTTGTGTTAGAGGTTGGTGTAGATGAGCTTTTTCGTTAAATGTGCCTAATGTAATGTACTGTGAGAACAGTGAATTTCAGTAATTGTTTCTGAAAATTTATCTTTTAAGGCATGCTTCAGCTGTGTCTGTATTTGTCCAGCGTAAGCTACCGCAGAGAGAGTGCAACTCAAAATGCTGACAGAAGAATCTCTCCTTCCTTCACTGGATTAGGGTTACACGTTCATCCCCTCACCCTTACTTCTACCTCCACAGTTTTTAGTTCCACTGAGGTTGCAGCACGAACAGGGTAAAGTAGGACTAGAAAGTTTTGATGGTGAGATGCTTTAAGAGCTTTCAAGACATGCTCCTTGGACACTCAAATCAGATCTGTCAAAGGAATTCTTATGTTGCGACTTCTTGGACTTCTGTCTACTGAATAACTACAGAAAACCGGTGAACGTACATGTTGCTATTAGATATTGCTTCCATTCTTAGGTCACTTAACTGTTGGGAGGCAGAAAACGGGAGAGGAAATAGCTACTGCTATTTGTAACTGTAATAACGACATGGGCTATTACTTTCAACCAGGAAAGAATATGCTGAACTTTCAGTGGCCACCTGCTCTCTTTGACTTTGACCTCATTCTTGATGGGTTATAGGTTATACTGGGGTGTTTTGGTTTGCTTTGAGGTTTCACAAATGGAGCAAATGAGCAGACAGAGGCATTCTGTGTATATACTTTCCATGAGTGAGTGAGTGAGTTTGTTTTTCATTTTTCTTTTGCATTTTATACCAGGATATATTTTTTCCAGTTTTCATAAAAAGAGTTTTTGTCTCTAGATTGTTGCCAGCAGCTTCATTATTAAGAATGTTAGGCCAGTTCTCCATTAAACTTTCCATAGAACTGTTCAAATTTACACTGACTTTCTATCTAAGCAATATCTTTAAGCAAAGTGTTTGTATTGTAGGAAAGGTTATTCACCCTTACAACTTCTGACAAAGCTATTAATTTTTCTGTAGTACGTATTTTTTTTTGCTTTCTTTAGTTTGGCCTTTTTAGATTGTGGGTATTAGTCCAAATTACAGTCTCGTAATATATGATCAGAGAGATCTGCATCTGCTTCTCAAAAACAAACAAAAAAACCTCTACTGCTCTGTTGTGAATCACATCTGTTGCCACCCAGGGAATGATGCCTTCAGGACTTTTTCCTTAGAAATTAATTTCCTCTTTGCCTGCTTTACTCTGTGTTTAATGATACAATTGTAGTCAAAAAAAAAAAAAAAAAAAAGCTCTGAGATTCATTAAAGAACATACTAAATTTTTCTTCAGTAGCTGTATACCAACTTTTTGTTGGAACGTTTTCCTTGTGTGGTAACGGCATTCCAGAGCAAAGTTTAAGAATGCTTATTAGTAGTGGATCACGTACTGACTAGCATGAGTTCTGGAAGCTTTTTTTTTTTTTTTTTAAATAAAGTTATAGTTTGTATCTAATAACTCTTCATATTAGCAATATTTTAAAGTGTGGAATTGATAAATAAGTTTTAAAGAGTATTATAAAAAATAGAAAGCTCTTTCACTGTTGTTTGTTACTCATCACCTTGAACAGACTAGAAAGAAGGCTCAGTTTTAGGTTATTTTTTATTCCTAAAGTAGACTGTTGGAAATGCAACATGTAGAAGCATGTGAAGTGCTTGCATTTTGGGAGGTAAAGTAAAAGATCTATTGTGTTGTCAAGGTGTATTAGCCTTCTTCTGGAAGGCTAAGATTTGAGACAGAACTGCTGCTAAAGAGATAATATAACTGATTGGCATCGTGAAATGTTTGGGCAAAATTGTTGGGAATACTTTTGTCCCATTTTGTCATTTATTAGGAGAATTTAGAAATAAATTCTTAAGTCCTGTCATGTGTGTGAATTAAGTTCCATCTGGATAACCAGAAAGGGTGTATTTTGTTTTATTTTTTGCAGAAATTGTTGGGAATACTTTCATAAGTATATCTACCCATGTTTGTCTGTCAGCACTTTAATTTTATTATAACTGTTGTTGAAAGTCTAAAAGTAGTCTCGACAAACATGAGCAAGCTGTAGTTGTTGTTTCTTTGTATTTTTATTCTTATATTTCTGGATTATGAATAGCAAGTCCAGTTATATTTGCAACTTACTTTTCTATGCCATAGATATTTCCTGTTACTGTAGCCAAGGAGGAAGGATGTTGGTCCTATACATAATACAAAAGCTGCAATTACTGAATCAGCAGTGCTGGAATGCTTAAGTCCATTTCTTTATGAATTGAGCATTTTTCCTTGGCCTTTCTTCCTAGCCCTCCTTCCCTGACTCCTGATTGTTGCAAGATAGGAGAATCCATACTTTTCTGCTCAGAAGCTTTTATTCTCTGCTTGCTGAGAAGGGGAAACAGCTTCTGTGTCTGCTTTTCCCTCACCAACCATGATATGGAGTAGGACTGATTTAATAGTATCAGAAGAAATAATCTTTCCATATCATAATCCTACGGCCTCTTTAGCTTCCTGCTCCATTTTCCCAAGCATTAATTATATACATGGGAAGTGGATTTCACGGCTGCCTGCTGTCCCCTGTTTTGAGTAGTGTTTAGTTTCACAGCTCATAAGGTATACTTATTTTAATTCAGAAGCATGGCAAAGCAGCGAGAAGATACTAGCATGCCTGAAAAGTCGGAAAGATAATACAAAATTGCTTGGAAATTTCCTGTAGTGAGCATCATTGCATGAAGCTATACCTTTTTTCAGAAGTGGATGTTTTAGTCCTGCATGTTTGCTGGTGGAATCCTTCATGTTTCTCATGTGCAAACGGGAAATAGGATTTTTCTAGTCTATAACAGGCTAATTAAATTCAGAAATTTAATTAACAAATTTAACAAAAGATCTCAATAAAAATGCAGTTTCTAGAAGCAAAAAAGTAATTTCTCATGTTTACTGCAAAACCAAATTATTTTCTTATTCTTGGCTAGAAGTTACCAAAAATTTCTGATTTGTTAATTCTAGAGATAATGAACTTTGTGAACTGTTTTCCAATTTGTGGTATATTCTGCTTCTCACATAAACCTTTCATAATGTTATGCTTATTTTGTGAAGAAATTATGCATTTCACGTAGATCCTATTTCAGATATTTTTCTCAATTCAAATGATATGACTGTAGTATGAAACCTGAACATGGAAGGAAAAGAGAATGGGAATTGTCAGTTATTAACGTTAAAGAGGAAAGGAGAAATGTATTTGAAATGGTCATCTAGTGCTGGCATAGTAATACATTAAGACAGGGTCTGATGCTCCAGTGTGATGTTAAAATAGCTGAGATGAAGTGTCATGGTACAGATATTACCAGGCAGCAGGAGTGGTAGGCAGATCAGGTGTAACTGAGAAAGGCATAAGACTGTGACAGCCTTACTGTATCTTTGAAGCTCTCTCACTGATGATACTAACCCTGTTACATGCCTAAACTGGATGCTAACTGTCTAAACAGTAAACTGTCTTTTAAACAGCAATTATACTCTATCTCATGCTTTTAATTTTCTCTCTTCCTGTGATTTGCTGTGTCTTATTGTCATACTGATCAAAGACATGTTATAAAAAATAATCTAGAAAGAAACAGAATTTAGTATGAAATATTTTTGAGCAATTTTTTATTTGTAAATAATAGTCCTGCTCTTAATATTAAAAATACTGTAGAAGCGTCAATAATATTGCTTTTAGTATTGTGTTGCATTCATTTTTTATCATTAAAATGCTGTTACATTTTAACTCTGTTTAGTGTCCCAAAAGCGTGCAGTAAAGTGCAGGAATATCTTCACATTAAAGTAATTTCACTTTAGTTAGCCATTTAAAAAAAAAAAAAAAAAAGCTTTAGGAAGGGCAGTTATCAAAATAGTCTTCTGTGAGCTTACTATAGGAACCTGGCTGGCCATGACCTCTCTTGCCTGATACGCCTTGTCATGGGACCCTGAGCCACCCACCCCTGAATTACAGCTTTTCCAAAACTAAGGATGTGACAGGTTGGCAGTGCTGGACACAAAATGTCAATCTGTGACTGACACCCTGTAGTTTCTTACAGATGTGAAGTGAGCTCTGAAAACACTGCTTTTGTTCATTCTGCCTTATTCCGGTTGGTGGCTAAATCTGTCAAATTTGGAAGTGATGTCAATTCTTAATGACTTATTCTAGGTAACACTGAACATGCCTGTTTGTCAGAATGTCCGTCTTCATGTGTGAAGTGCTGGATGTCTATATGAATATATATATATTTTTTTTCCTTTAGCTTTTTGGTATGTGGTGCAAACTCTTGCATTGACGTTTAAGAGTCAATTCCAGGCATATACTGTGTTTTGTTTTTCTCTTATACTAAGGGAAATGTTTTTCCTCTTTTTTTTCTGGCTTATATATTTAGTTGTGTTGTTGAAATCAGCTTGAAGGTGGAACTAGTGATTTCTTCCAGTATGACTAACCCTGATCTTTCTGAACAAATGTTCCTTTAATTAGCTAAACTGATGCTAACTCATGATTCATTCCTTTTCTTCAAAAGAGTGATTTTTTGGATTTTTTGTGGCCGCTTTTTTTTTTTTTTTTTTTTTTTTTTTTTTTTAATGTACTTTTTTTTTATTACAGGAACACTTACACAGAATGAGATGATATTTAAGCGCCTCCACCTAGGTACTGTGTCCTATGGAACAGACACAATGGATGAAATTCAGAGTCATATTATAAACTCTTATTCACAGGTATCTCATTTTATAAATTATTTACCTTTAACGTTGAGATTTTTTTTACAGCACTGAGCCGTTGTTGTTGATTATGTCTTGAAATTGGAGATGCCATGAAAGCTCCTCTGCTTGTAGGAAACTCTGAAGAGGTATGATGAAAGGGATAGTTTAGATCAGCAGTGTAATCACTCAAAAATGTGAGGCAGTATATAGTTTTCTCCTGATTCTAAAATTCCCTGTCATACCCTCTTTGAGGAGTTTGCTTTTATTCTCCACTTGCAGGGATCTGTTTTAACTTGTCTGTGCAGTGCAGTGTTTCTTCTGCCAAATCATCTAAAAGTAAGCTATACGTTATAGAAACGGCAAATTACAAGTAAGTGTCCGGAATAAGACAAATAGTGATTGCACATTTAAAGATATTCGTCAAGAATAGTCATTGAAAAACTATGTTAATTGGCATAACCAGAAAGTAAAAAAATTACTCGTCAAAATAAAATTAGTATACCTAAAAGAATGACAGGTTTAAAAAAAACTTAAATGATTCCAAACAGCATAAAACTGGGGAAAGACACAAAAAACAGTATTGCCTAAGAACAAATTGTTTGGTGCTCCTGTGGTGTGTGAGAGAATTTGGGCTGGGGAAATGTATAAGAGTTGCAGCTCCCTTATATGTCTGTGGAATGGAGGAGGAAGATAGAGTTCAACGTCTCCCATATATGTAAAGTATTTCAGTACCTTCTGTAAAGCTTTCTAAGCGCCTGGTTGCATTCTGGGATCAGGAAGAGTGATTTTTTTTTTTTTTGGTAAGACTGATATTATTTCATTTTTGGGTGTGATGATGGTGGTGGTTGTTACTGTGAGGTTTTTTGTGCATGTCCATAGCGCCATGGATGCCAATTAAATAGAGATTAAGAAAGTGACTTTTTTTTTTAAACAAAAAAAAAATTTTGATAAGGAAAAAAGTTACAGTTTGATTATTTTTTATCTTGTGTACAGTGTGATATAAGGGTTTTATAGAGAGTTGGTTCCCATGGTTAACTTAGATGCACAAACATGATCAGCTGACCCAATTAATTTCATAGACTGACCTCCTGATAATCTATGTCCTCATTTTCTTTTGTTGTAAAAGGGTTGTAAGATCAGTGATTGGTAAAAATCTTTAATTGCAGTGTTTTGAACTGTGGCTGGCTTCCTTCTCATTTGCTAAAAAACTTGGGGCTTTTTGAACTATGCTGAACTGAGATAATACTAGATAGCTTCTGGGAAGAGAGGCAGGAGCGAAAGCAGTGAATAAACAACATGTATTAGAAAGTTTTTGTCTGCAACTTAAATTTCTGTGTTACTTCCCCATCTAACCAGATCAACAAACCCACTTCTTGAATTCCTTTTTCTTGGATAAAAGTATTTCAGCTTAACTCTTAGTAGGTATGACCATGAATAGTAGCTGAATTGCAACGATATGCCTTAGAAATGAGATACGGAGCTCTTTTACCTAAAGATCAACAGTCCAGATTAAGTTCAGGATGGGTTGCTGAAAGTAATTGCTACCTGACAGTGTTTATTAAAATCGCTCAACCATAGTTTTTTTGTTGTAATGGATTGTTTGGGTATTACCAGTAACAACTATAGCAATAAGTAATAATAGCTGACAGTCTTCAGCAGAGATGTCTAGGACTGACTGAGTTTGAAGACTGAACACCAAGTCTTCTCCTAGAGAAGGAATATTCATTAATACTGCTTTCATATTTTTAGGTTAAATACTGTGTCTGAAAAAAATTGCATGACTCCTAGAATTTTTGTTTGCTTAAAGGTTTTGCTAGCTCATTGTAAGTTATGAGTGATACCTATGGTTACTAGGTTTTCAATAACTAACCTGCTTGGCACTGAAATTTCCCAAATCTAGGTTTGCTTTTAACTAACATAGATAACGAAAAGAACTTTTGGGGACTTTCCTTCTTTCAGCCATGTATAACACTACTTAATGTTTAAATAACGCTTTAATTATGTGTGTGTTGCTAGCAAGTATTTAAAACAGAAAAATGAAGGAGTCTCTTTAACAAAACAAGCAACTATTAAACAATTGTTTCAGTCTGAAAAGTGTGGTGAGGTTTTTATTTAATCTATGATAATAGAAGCTGCCAGTTAGTTAGGCAGTGGTTCTTGTGTGACATTGATTTTATCCCTTGTTTGTGTTCTGTTTTATTATTACAGTGGACCTACTAGACTATTGTCATCTTAATGTAACACACAAATCTATTATAACTTGATTATATTTCCCCACTGGAAGCATTTTGTGATAGAGGGCATAATCTTTAATGGAATTTGTGTGAAATTAAATTATACAAGCATCAATAAACATAACATAATTCAGAAGGAGTAAATCAGCTTAATTTATTTGCGGCTGTAATGGCATCAGTGTTAGCAGAATGCAAATGCAGAGGTTTAAAGCAGTAGCTGAAAAGCATTGCCAGATGAGCAGAAAGTTAAACCCTTTATTAGACAACACTGTAATTTGATGGGCAGAATGTTCACGGTTCCGCAGATTGCAGTCAGGAGGGGGGAAAAAACCAGCATGGTTTGTGAAGAGGATTTCTGAGTTACCCAGAAGTGAGCAGTCTTTGGTAGTACTGTTGACATTATTTCATACCCTGACCTAACAAAAATAAATAAAAAGGCAGTTATTTCCAACTGATCATAAGCATATAGTACTTTTAAAAGAAAAATGCGGTCATATGCACTTGAGCGTTTCTGGGGGGTAACATTTTAAGTAGTGCTAGTGTAGCGGTTATGCAACAGTAACATGATCTTGAAATATGTATTCAGCTATTATTTAGCAAGATTATTAGATTAGATTATTGCATTGTGCCAAGGACAAATTTCAGCCTGCAGCAAAAGCAACTGTTACACAAACTGCGTTTGTTCACAAATAATGTAGAAGTTATGTAGGTTATAAATTAGATCAGCAATATTTGTATTTTAATCCTTCCTAATTTTCATACTTAACAAGATTGGCTTTTGTTCTTTTGTTATGTGTAAATGTGGTGGTCTTTAAAAAACAAAAATAAAGATTTGGGTTAAGATTTAAAGAAGGGTTTTTCAGTTCATTGAGCTTGGGTGTTTCCAACCTCTAAATGTACACGGGTGACAAGTAGAAAGGAGAAGGAAAAAATAAACAAATACTCTTGCAATCTTATTTTGGTGTTTCTGAACTCATTCTGATTGCAGCCTTAAGTAATTTTTTTTAAATAATTCATAAAATTTAGAGGGAATTAAAGAATTATGTGAGGAATTGTGGAAAAAGGTAAATTCTGACGTGGGGTAGCAGGGTTTTCTGCAGAGTCCAGCCAGCCAGTTCACCCCTTACTGCATTTTTTTTAATTTCACATTTTTGTTGTCTGCTTTTTGAGGGTCTTTATTATTGAAAACTGAGTACAGATGTAAGATGAGTAACCCACAGTTACGTGTCTGTTAAACAGAAAAGTATAAAGTTCTTATAGATCATAAACCAAATGAGTTAACAGTAGGTTATGTAAAATAAATGGTCTACTGTCTTTAGGGTCGATCAACCCTTGTAAAGGGAACAATGGGATATATGTTACTACTCATGTCATTTCCTTTATTGAACTTTATTTTCACTATTCATCGTGTTGGGTCTTTAAGATGCACTCTCAGAACAGTGGAAACAGCACGAGTTCAACACCATCTAGGAGACTTCAGTCTTCTGCGCCTAAAGTCCGCAAGAGTGTCAGTAGTCGAATACATGAAGCTGTGAAGGCTATTGCATTGTGCCACAATGTGACCCCAGTGTACGAATCTCGTGCGGGTGTGTCTGGAGAAACAGAATATGCAGAAGTGGATCAAGATTTCAGCGATGAAAATAGAACTTACCAGGCTTCCAGCCCTGATGAGGTTAGTAAGCAAGAGGGGTTTTTTTGTTTTGTTTTTTATCTTGTTTTGTTTTTAAACATCTCAGGAAGAATGGACTAAACTAAGTTCAAAAGAACAGAACTGTGAAGGACGAATGTTTTGTAGTGGGATTTCTTTAAGCTTGCTTTTCCTCTCCTCCCCCCCCCCCACCCCCCACCCCAGCTGTTGGAAAGATCTGATATTCTTTATGGCCTACATAAAAGTGGTTTCAATTATTTGGCTAAGAGGTTTGTGAAGTCAGTGCTTTGGGATCAATACCGTGTATTAGATATTTTGAGTATTGCAATTAAAGTTATTAGGTATATTCTTGCAACATTAATCCATGTATAAGTTGTAGCGTGTACGTTCAAAAGAGCGTATGAAACTCTGCTTTGAAAGATGGATAACCAAGTGTGTTAGCTAGTGACGCTACCGATTAGTTGAACGTATAGATTTCTTAACAGGAAAAAAAAACGAGCCTCGTATACTCTGTAGAAAAGCTTTTCAGCTTCAAACTCTAGGCAACTTCATAATCTTCAGGGTTTAATCAAAACTGTATAAACTGTAGCATAAATTTAAAACCCCATTTCAGTAAAATACTTAGCTCTGATTATGTATGTGACTTCCATTGAAATCCGAATTTTAAACACATCCCACTGCTTTCAGCACTTCTGACTTACTGTTGTGAGTAGTCCTTTTTTAGGGCCTAAAATTCAGTCTAAAGAGATATTAGGAGAGAGGCACAAAGCTCATATTTCAAAATACTGAAAAGTAACCATAAAAAATAATTATAGCTCACTCATCTTGCAAAAACGTGCATGTACGCAAAGTAGAGCGCTTAGAGTGCCTCAGTTTGCCTCTGAAAGCGAACGGGATGGTGGAGGGGGAAGGGTCTTTGTCTTGAAGATCCAGCAGTGTGAAGGTTGGATATTCTGGTGGTGATGCAGCCATGGTCATAGTCAAAATATGCTTTTTTTGTAATGTGTGAAGAAGGAAGTATGTATCTGGAAGCCTGTATATTTTTTTCAACCAATTGATCTACCACAAGATAGTACTTCCTCCATAACCCTTATCTTGTTCCAGCTTGGCTGTTATTCTTGGTATAGGTTAGGTTTACGTATTTAATATGTCACCATATGTAACATTGATAGAACTTTAGCAATTCAAACTGCAAGCTGTAATTATTAAAAGTAACAAGTCCCTAAAAAGTACTTTTAGGAATGCAAAAAGTGAGTTGAAATTTGTCTTCAAGTAGTACCAAACTAGCAGGCATTACGTGCATTTCAAATGCTATAAACACAGTAGGTAGTGTCAGGGGATTGTAGAATATAAAAAAGTGGCAGTTAGAGTGGGTTTTTTTTTTTTAATAGATGGGTGTTCTAGGTAGGATTATAGACAGTATTCATTCTTTGGTTAAAAAATAGTCTGTAATACTTGTATGTATTATGTAATGCACGTGGTCTGTATTTTGAATTGAGAATGCTGAAAGAAAAAGAGTGTGTGTGTGTATGCCAGTGATATAGAGTAAACATAATTTGTTATTGTAATTGTGTAATGTTTATTGACTTATATTCATATTAATGCATATGTGTACATATTTCTGTGTACATTTTATGTACATATATTCATACTTACTGCATGTGTTAGTTTAATGAGGCTACAAGGTATTACTAAACATAACTTAGGTGCTTGCTTATGCAGTCTTTATGTATGACATATGAGGACAGTTAAGGAGTAAGAGCCAAAGGTATTTCTAAATGAGGCAGAGACACATGCGATTGAGAGAGATTGTGAATTTTTCCTCACATTTGCTCCTCTATTCCTGTATGCTTTTGTATATTCATTGAGTTGTTTGGAACATGAAAATATTACCATAAAGAGCAATTCTCCACCCGTATTTGTTAAAGGAAACTGCTGTAAGACTTGAGGATTATATGAGTGGTGCCATGGGAGGACAACAGGTAATTTGACCTTGGAAAAAGGAAAGAAAAGTTGATAAAGTGTGAATTCGACAGATCTGGGACTCTGGGTGGAAAGGGAAGTGAAAGAGGAAATCGGCAACAAAGAAACTGTTAAATTGCTTCAAATGACAATGCACAGGTATCCCTTTAGTAATGAGTTTTTAATCATGTAAACCTGCGCACTCACACTACATACACTATAAAGAATTGAAACACTTGCCACACGTTTTAGGAGAGACAGCATTAACTTTCCTTTTTAATTCTCGGAGTTAATGTTTGAAAAGCTACCAAAATTATCATATTAAACAAGTATGTTTTAATATAATGAGAAATTGATACTAAGTAGTCTTATAAAAAGAAGCTACAAAAACATCTAAATAGCATAAAAATTGCAACATGATAGCAAAAAGTCTGACAGTGAAAGACTAGCAGGTCTTTATCATAATTTTTTAAAGAGTTCTATCGATGCAATGTTTGCAAATCACTGGAGCCTAAGGAAAATAATGTAAATGGTTCATTATTTAGCTTATTGAACTTTCCTGCAGTTAGATTGACGGATGATGCCAATGTTTCCCAATCACCAAAGTACCATTTTAAAAGCATTTTTTATTGAATAAAGCGCTTTGAATATTGCACCCTGGAGCTTTATTTAGGGAAATGGTTCAATTGATGTTTTCTGTTTAACCTCAGCACTGACCTATCACAACATATTTGGTTAATAAGCAACATTATCATTTAATAGACTTAACCAGTTTTATGCATTTTACTTTCTCAACATTACAACTCTATTCTCTTAGATTTTGTTTATGGATCTGGCTTGATTGCAGTCTCTTCAAAGAAGATGTTATTTGCTTAGTTGTCTTTTGCGTCATATAATGTTGCATATTGCCACCATAACAGATAAAGAGCCAAAAAAAAAAAGTTTAAGTATAAACTCTTCTTCCATATTGGAGAACACGGGAAATGTTTTAATAATGTAATGACAAACACATGAGATATGGTTAATGAAATGGGTAGAGGAGTTCATTTGAAATTCTTCATGTGTATGTGTGTATGTATGTGTATGCACATCCATATATGGATAAAATATAACCTTAACAGAGGATGCACATTTAGAAGTAGGTATATTCATCATAAAAGATGAATTTATCTATTGTTAGAGTAACCTGCGATACGTAACTGATTTTGTATTCATAATGTGAGCCCTACTTATGCCAGGCTCTTTGTTTCTTATGATAAGTGATCAATATTTCATTTTCTCTTGAAAGAGTGGAAAGTTTCATTTGTCTGTCACTTGTCCTCTACAGCTATAGCATAGCAACCAATAAACATTCACTGAGAACTCAAGGTGGGGGGGGCGGGAAGGCCCCTTAGCCATCATAGGTGTGTGTTCATCTCATTTGTAGAAAGCCAGCTAACCTAATGTAATGAACAATCATAAAAGCGTATAAACTAAGTAGGTAAAGCAATAAAGTTCAGAGGTCACAGACCCAAGCAATTCGAGGGTATGGTACGAACAGAAGCCTTTGAAGACCTTTGCTCCCCTTCGGTCAGAAAAGATAGATCAGTCACGATTTTTTAATGACTACTTACTCATAAACCAGCTATTTATTGGTTATGCTTTTTCCTGCACTGTTATTTTCTCAAGTATTCTAATTCTGGATATTTGAATATTTAAATACTACCTTAAAGTGTGGTCAGTTATTTAATTCCAACGTTTCTGTCCAAAGACAACAGAATTGCTAAAATTAATTACAAGGATATAAAGCCAATCATTTAAAAACAGACAGGGAAATGATATGCCCTTAGTGAAGCAGCTTTTGTGTTTACAAAAGTGAAGCTGTAATGTATGAGACATGTTGTATTGTTTAATTCATTTTATTGTGTGTGCTTATTGAAGCAAGACTAATTGTGTTGTTTTGTCAATGTATTGTGAAAAGCAAATCACTCAGTAGCATAAAACCATCACTTTCATGACCTCGAGACCCACAAAGAATAACTACTCCATAGCTTGTCTTGAATATTGACTGGCAGTTTTTCACATGATCAAGCTGTATTTTTAAGTTAATAATTTCATTTTATTTTAGTTAAGAAGGTTCTTGGTGAAAAACGGTAGACTGCAAGTGTTAGTTACCAAATCATCGTTCATTTAAAAAAAGAAAAAGAAAAAAAAAAAGCCAACGCTGATTGGAAATGTGAATTGTTGAACAATCCTAAAAGAAACAGTTGGGATCACTCAGGTTGGAGGAGGGGGGAGAATCTCTCCACTTCTTCCCTGTTTCCAAACCAATAGTCTTAAGTTTAAAATACCACACGTACCCTGTGCATCCCCTCCGTCTATTACATGGCAACCTGATTTTGAAAGCAGATCCTGTTGTCTGAACTGAAGATGCTCTTAATTTACCTTGAGAAAATTGAAGGTTGGTTATATGAGAATTCTTTAAAGAAGTAAAGGTAGGTTAAGAAATTTCCATCTCTAGTCTTTCAGAATCCCCCACAAATAACTCCCTCGTATATGCCAAAAGTTTCAAAGCCTTTATTTTTTGCACGTTATTTTTCACCTACACTGTCTCAGTGGTGAGTAGTAGCTGTGAGCACAGCTGAGGGGACTCCGAACTGCTGGATGGGGTAGAAAAAAACTGCTAGCACCAGCTACAAGGAGAGGCCCTTTTTTATTTAAGCTGATTTTTGTTTTTGTTCTTAAAGCTGACTGTACTTTAAAAGAGACTATTGCATCTTGAAAGTAACATTTAATTCATTGTACACTGTTTCGGGCAACATGTTATAAAGACACTGCTGTTACATGTTTCTGCCAGGGAGCAGCAAGGGCAGGGGTGGCCTGCAAGGGAAGGGGAGCCAGAAGCTAGGCGTCCAGCAAGGCTAGCAGAGGCAGCAACCTCCCTGCCTAGGCTGCAGTCCCGCCTTATCCAAGTGAGGCGTGCAGAGCAGGTTCAGTGATGGTCACCAGGGGCAGCCAGGAGGCTAGATTGACATAGAGGTCTGTGGTGATGAGGATAGGTCTGAGACCAAGCTGGGAAGTTGAGTCAATGAATCGGGATCAAGTCCGGAGACAGTAACCAGCAGCAGCTGCAGTCCAGTGATCACCAGGCAAGTCCGCAAGAGTGAGGGCAGTCCAAGGGCAGCTGTGAAGTCAGGTCCACCCTTCATGGCCTGGCTTGGCAGAGTACCTGGCTGGGTATGGGCATGGCTGCAGTGTAGCTCTGACAGGAACAAGGAAAGGAGCGGGGAGCCTCCACAGAAGCCTCTCTTAGTGCTTTTTTCATAACAGCTCTTACCAGTGAGCTGGCCTTGTGCGCAGCTCTGCTAGGAGGGAGGGAGTGCGCTCAGGGCTCTGACAATTACTCAGGGCTCTGACAATTTCAATCTGTTTCATAGGAACATGTTGCCGTCCTTTCTTGCCTGATAAAAGGATGTTCAGGTTCTGTCTCTACTTACCGAAGCTAAGATTTTTGGATTTTTAAACTTCTACTCTCTATGCATATGGTTTATTATAAAACTCAAAATTAATGGATAGGTTCCTAAGACCAGCTAAGCTCCAAATAGCACAGAATTCAAAGATAGCAGTAACAAGAGGGCGTATATGATGATTTGTATATTCTGACCCTGACTGATGTATGTAAAAGCAAGTGAGAGCAGCCTTAGGCTATTTTTTTGGTCTTATGCCAAGCAGCAACAGCCCTACAGGGTTGATCCAGTAATTCTGAAGGTCTTCAGAATTCAGCAGTGCTTCAAATACCTCACTCTCTGAATTTATGACTGTGTGCCCAAAGGCAGGGAAGTTTGATTTTTCAAGTGACCATATCTGTTTTTCATCAGCCTGACTACTTCATGCCATCAGGCTCCCTAGATGACAAGAAACTAGAGGCAGTTACATTTTCCACAAAGCAGAAGGGCTCAGAGTTGCAATTCCCGAAACTGAAAAGCGATAAGATACCTGGGTGATAAGTGAGATTTCATATTAGTCCAGAGGAAGCCAGGGAAGATGCTCACCTGAGAGGGAGCAAAAGTGCCCTTCCTTGAGTACCTCATTCACCCTCACAGGCAAAGGTCAAGAGAACATGGAGATGGGCTGAATAAGGGACAGACCCTGTAGATATTGATGGAATAGTCTGAAGCCGTATAACACTGCTCCGGAGAGAAGCAAACTCACGTTGTTTGGTAGGGCAGGTAGGTACTTAACTCCTCCATCCTCAAATTGGAAAGCAGATAAAGATATGGCTGTTCCTTTACAATCCATTGGACAATCTTGAACGTGAGCTGTAATTCTGACTGTACATTTGTATGTTTAGATGTTTTAACTTGTTATCTGTCACAAAATGGAATTATTTTAATTGGTGTTATTAAATGGGAAAAACAGACTAATAGAATTTTGTGTAGAAGATTATTTCCTTTAAAACAAAAAACAACAAAGAAATGTTGGCCACATTGATCATTTAGGATGTTATTGTTTTCTTATAAAATGAAATATACTGAGATTTTTGTGGCTTGTCAATTTACACATTTTTTTAAATTTTTTGTTTTAAAATTTTTGGTTAGTATTTATTTTAGGTTGAAGTCAGTCTAGTGTTCTAATTAAATATGCAGTTCTTAATCCTTGACAAGAATAATGACTTCTGTTCTGTGCTCAATGTAGGATTTATGAAGTCCTTAACTACATGTTTTCTTGCCTTTAATAGGTGCTTAGGTTTTGTGACTGATGAAAGAGGTAACTACATCATTGTCACTTAACACCCTTGTGTGTAGTTTATAGAACTTTCTAGAAACTGCCAGCATTATTTATATACTGCATTTTTTTTTGTTTTAATTCAGTAAGTGAAGCATTTCTAAACAGATAGGTTGGTTATGTCCCCAAACTGTTGCAATAGTGTGCACAGTTGCCACGGTCAGTAACAACAGTGCTTCTGAAGTTTCCCCTCTTCATGCCTTGCTCAAAGCAGATTTGCTTCTTCCAGAACTGGCGCACAGTCACACTCAAAAGAAGCTACTGAGCTGGTATTACTGTTAAATTAAACAGTCGATTTAGGATGTGGATCTCTTGGTTGCACAGTTGGTTCTTTGCCCACTAGTTGGAAGAGTTTCCTTGTGAAGTCCCTGCGTTTAACTTCGGAAATATCTGCTGTAGTAATTAGTTTAATATTTTGGGCCATGAAATATGGCAGCTCTGAGGAGCTGGAAGCTGCTTGTGGAGAAAGAGTTTTGATGGAGACAAGCAGTGCTCGACAGCCAGCATGTGATAAAATAGAAAGATCTGAAGGATTTGGGGTAGAAAACACTGAACGAGGTGTGTTTCTCTAACTTTTTGTCAGATCTGTTGGATAGCCATTTCATTAGCTCATGGCAAATATCTGCTGTCTTCATTTATAATGTGCAAAAATCATTTTCAGCTTGTCATGTCAAGGTAGGTAACTGATTTTATCCTTTGGATGGCTACTAATGAAGGAGCTAAATAACAAGATATAAGCCAGACAGCTCTCTCTAACTCTGTGTTACCAGTCCCAGGAGGACTGCACAGTTACGGGCTGAGGTGCATGCTTCAGTCTCCGTACCAGGAGAACCTATGTCTGCCAACATACTTCTGCCTCCAGGAAACAGATTTCCATAGGACAGAAATTTGGGTGATGAGGCAGATGAGATCCACAAGGTATTCAAATAAGTACCTAACCTGGATTCAGGGAAAATTAACCCATTTTAATCTATGCATGTTAAGAAATCAATGGTTATCAGAAAGTAAATAGTATAATTGAATGGATTATTTTAAAGCAAAATGGTAGCATCTCCAGCTAAGTTTTTCCTGTGTGCCTATTCTTTAGTTGCTTTATATTATTCCATCAAATATGTCAAGTGCTGGGGAAGCTCCAGCTGCTGTGTTTACCTGGCATTCTTAGGGGTTCTTGGTGTTCGCACACTAGATTGCAAGACAGTTTTATTGTAAAGTATCAAAAAGTATTGAAGAGAGCCGGATATACTTGAGAGGGGAAACCTCACGAAAAGAGTTTTTCTGAACACTTTTTCTGAACCTCATACAGCCATTCAGTATGTATGTATACAAATTTTTAAGTATGTAGTATTCTAAAAACTTCAGATATTTAGTGCTAAGACTTGGCTATGTTCTGGATGCTGTGAGGGTCTAGCTTCTCTGACACGTTCTGAATGACAGGAGCCAAAGTTAACTTAATGTGTTGCTCTCAAATTTGCTCAGTTGCCTTTTAGGCATCCGTTTGACTCTTGAGCCTTATTGACCACTTTTGCTATGGTGTTTGCCCTGATCAATTTGAAAGAGAAAAAATTATAGACCAGGTATAAGAATCTAAAATGACTCTGCTACAAAATGCTAATTCAAATGTTCGGTGAAGCCAAGCATAAACGAAATAATAAACAGATGTGAGTCACCAAATATAGAACACTTAAGTCCTAGCTTGCAAAAGGACACAAATGAGATGATAGGGTATTAGTAGAAAGATGCAATTTACAGGTCAGAATGTAATAGTAACCTTTCACTGTGAAAATTGAAAATTAACCTTGGGAGTATTGGATCGCTTACAGCCTATATGGTACTCTTATTGAAGGAGAAAAATCTCTAAAAAAGACTTTTCCTGTGATTTTTAGATTTAAAATTGGTGTGGTTTTTACAGTGTGCTCCTTTTCTTTTTCTTTCTGTAGCTGTGTCTCTCAATTTTCATTTATTGGTGCCTACACTGACTCAGTTACAGAAAGAAAAAGAAATGGAGCACACTACTACTGACTTGGGTGTCTTAGGGATTCACGCAGCTGCTCATGTTTTTTGTGTTTGTTTTCTCTGCTCCCCCCCCCCCATTTTAAACTTTTGTAAGAAGCTACATGATGATTTACTCACTGTGGATCAAATTCTCAGCAGGCTTTAGTTATCATGTCTGTTGACCTTACCTCAGGATTTTACTACTTACATCTCTCATTAGACTGCTTGATTTTAATTTTTCTCTCCTCTTTCTCCTAACTGAGATTAACAACAGAGGCAGGTTCCATAAAATTTGTTAGCTTTCATTATAATTATTTTTTTTTCTTTAAAAATTTGGTATCTAGTAATGATTAGCATTTGGAAAAATAAAAACAGGATTTAGGAGGAGGCTTTTTTATCAGCTAGGGAATATGGCTAGTATATAAACTAGCAGTAAAGCAGTTTTCCTAAAGTATTAATTTTTTGAAGGAAAAAATCCCAACGGTGGTGATAACGTTTTAAAAATAGCTACTGCATTGTTTAAAGAATAACGTGGAGGAAAAAAGCTAAAAGTCATGCACTTCAGAGTAGCAAAATTTCAAAAAAAAAAAAAAAAATTATGAATCACTAACATAGGCACTTAAGATTCCGTGTAATAGCAGTCGATAGTGACTACTATGTAGTGCAGCTTTTCTGGGTTTGTAAAAGGGACATTAACAAGCATGTTTGTGAGAAGCAGAGTTGTAAAAGTTAGATTTCCATGTCATTTGATGTGGCAAGGACTTAACTGTAGTATATTTGACACAAAAGTAATAAAAAGATGCAAGTGAAGGAAGTACACTGAAAAACTAAATAAGATGTATTTGCATATTACAGATTCTAACCCTGCATGTAATTCTATGTCTAAATAAATGTTTTGTGGAAATTGCGCCAAGATCTTTTACTTTGTGGCGCAGAAATTGCGTTACTATTTTTGCAGAACTTCTACTGGTGGCCCTTTAAGTGTGGTTTAAATAAGTCTGGTTTTTGCATAAAAACTGTAATTTCTGAACAGCATATTCTGAATGCCTTATTGACAGGAATAAATAAGTGTTTGTATTCCTCATAAGAATCTTTGTAAGCTTTTTGTAGAAAAGTACTCATTCTAAGTTACTAAGGTTTTATATTCAGACACTTGCTACTCACTGGTGCTTTTTCTGGATCTTGGAGGAGTTTTGACTTTTACCTTAACAACAATTGTTTGGTTTTAGCCTAATTTACATAGGGGTATGATTGACCTTTCACGCTTAAACATGTCTTTTCTTTCTCTTTTTAGGTAGCTCTGGTACAATGGACAGAGAGTGTTGGTCTTACGCTGGTTAACAGAGATTTGACCTCAATGCAACTGAAGACCCCTGGTGGACACATTCTGACATACTATATTCTGCAAATTTTCCCCTTCACTTCTGAGAGCAAGCGCATGGGGATCATAGTTAGGGTAATTTTTTGTTTGTTTGTTTCTCAAGAATTGCTTGCCTTATCAAGTGTTAAGCTAATGGCTAAAACTTATTGAAATAGTAGTTCACATCTTCATATACTACTACTGCTTCTGCATTTCCAGACCCAGTATGGGTACGCCACAGGGTCTGAGATTTGGCAGGTATGTGTTTAGGTGTCTGTCAGATATCCACATGAGGGCACAGTAATGACCGTTAAAACCTCAGGTACAAGGAAGCCAGCACCCCATGCTAGAAAGAAGGAATTTTTAGTGATTAAGCCATGCATGCTCTATACTTTTCTCTTCTTCCTACCTAAAATCAGGCACTGCAGCAGAACAGCTTCAGATGGCAGTTAAATCAGGTAGATCATTGCCAAGTCACAGTAAATAGGTGCCAAGCTCATCCCTTTCCATCTTTGCCAGCAGGTGGCAAGCCAGGCGTGTCATCTCTCTGGGGTACTTGAGGCTGCAGAGTGCATGCTTGCTCGAGTCTGAAGAGAGATCTTGGCATGTCTGTGTTTCATTAAGCACAATTGGCACTAATAGCATGTTTGACAGTGTAGCGGAGGCATTTTTAGATATTTTAAGGAGTTTGCAGATCAGATGAATCCATCCTTTCTGCAACAGACCATACATCAGAAGCTCCTGATTCAGATAATACTTATCTGAGTGTGAATTCTCTACATACACAATGACTGCTTCATCATTAAAACCTCTGTCACATGTTGCACTACTCAGTTATTTGTTAATTTTTAATTACCTAGCAATTTCAGAAATACAAGGTGAGCTTTATCCTGAAGTGTGTACCTTATATGCCACAAAAGAAACAAAAATATTTCAGTCATTTGAACAGGCGTAACAGTGATATTTTAAAATTTAGAAAGGACAAACGTGTTAGATGGTCAGAACCTGTCACTCAAACTGACGGCAGTTAAAACTGATCCTCTGATATATCAGAAATTAGGAAATGTGCATCTCAAAGGATCCAGAGATGTCACTGGAAATATTAACATCAAATAATAAAATTTATCTACCTCTTTGCAAAGTACTTCCAGTCTTTCATAGTTGGTAAGCCATTGGCAACTACAAAATAAAAGGTTACTTGTAGATGATTGTTTCTATCATATAGACAACTTTTTTCCTTTTTTTTTTTTTGTAAAATTTTAGGATGAATCTTCGGGAGAAATTACATTTTACATGAAAGGTGCAGATGTTGCAATGTCCACTATTGTACAGTACAATGATTGGTTAGAAGAAGAGGTAAGAAACAAAATTTGTTTCCTTCTTAGGAGAAGCAGCTGAACACTATACTTCGTGCTTGAAACAAATTTATACTAGAAATTGGTAATGAACATGAGAAAATATGTATTTTTTTCTTTTCTTTTCTTTTCTTTTTTTTTACACAAATGTTAATGGAATAGGTTCCAGAAGGAGATCCTGAGCCAATGCAGTAATGAGTTTTGAAGTTCAGTTGTGTATATCTTGATTGGGTTTTAAAAAATTAGAATTGCTTCCAATTCTTGTATAACACATGAAAAGGTAAAGCTAGCAGTCATAACAGAGCATAGCTACTTAAACCAAGGGAATTTTTTTTCATTGACTGACCTTTCACATAAAACCTAATTACTTCTGAGAAGTATTCTATTATAAACCTATTTATTGCTAAATGCCCTTTTATCCAGCTCTACACTGAATTATTACTATGAATTATGAAGTTCCGTAAGGGATGTAGCCAGATTGAAATAACTTTTGCCACATTTATTAAATTTAATGTAAAATAGCTAGTGACTGAATTTCAAAACTGATTATTTTTCACTGTGTGGCTGTAGTAGATACCAGTAGTCATCTTTCTTTGACCCTGCATGCAGACAATATGTTAATACAATGATTACACCATGTATGTTCATAATGGTATTGGCAATATGAATCAATATCTGCTGCAGGGCAGTTTGATTTATTCAGGGACATGAATAAATTAAACTCCCTCAAGACCTAGCAAAATGTCATAAAAATTAGTTTTGGTGATAATGATACACAATTAATTGTAAAATACTTGTTTAATTTATTTAGCTTTATGAGGTCAAATCAATAAATGTTTTGCACCAGACAGCCGCTGTCATTAAGACAGAAGTTTTCATGCTATTTAAGACTATTCTTAATGCTTGAGACCTTCTACTAGTGCCAGGCATATTTTCTACATACCTTAAAAATAATTTTAATGTATTTTAAATTTTCGGCCTAAAAGAATTTTTCTTACAGTTGACTGGTTTACCAATAGCGTACCACTTTGTTTGGGGCAGCTGAAGCACGATTGTTCTTCATTCTGTTTGTAGCTATTCTGTATGAGTACGAGTAGATTTGTAAATGTTAGAGGTATTTTGCCACATCTTGTCATACGATGACTTTTATTATTCACAATATATTATTTAGTGCTTTGTTCAGCCTAGCTGGTGTTTGCAGTTATCTAGTAGTAACATATTCAGCCCTTCACAGTGTACCTTAAGGGCAGGTGACAGTGCTGAAAACTAAGGGTTGTGCCAATGGTAATTCAAATACATTGCACTCACGGAGTATTAATATACAGCGTAGCTAATGCAAATGTCTGTGAGAAGAATTAAGAGGCTATGGAAGGCTGGTGGATGACTGTAAGGAAGGGTGAGGGGAACACGAATCTTTTCAGGAATGAAGTAATTAGATGTCAGTGAAAACGTAATCTAAAATATAATTTACTTTCCCTCGGAGTATAGAATAAAACTGCCTACCTGTAGCTGGAAAAAGTAGAATCCACTTCAGTTTCTGTTAGTTTTAACACATATTACAGGGTTAACTTTAGCAAAGTAATTGCGCTCTGTTTGTGTGGAGTGAATGACTACAATGAAGTGATTCTAAGCAAAGTTTAAGATGATAATTTTCCAACTGGAGGTCACAAAAGATTAAACTTTCCCCCGTGGTCGCCTTTTCTAACTCCATCTAAATGGAGCAGTCCAGCACCTCTGCTTAGAGACAAAGGCAAAAGGCAGAGTCTTAAGTGCTGCTTTTGGTTTCTTTCTTAACTCCTATACCTAAGATTAAAGAGAGACTTAGCTAAAATTTTTGCAGAGGCTCTCTTTCCCTTGAAAGTTGTGTTATATACTGTATGCAGCATCATATTTGAGAACCTAGGTGGATGTGGTAGCCCTGTATTTAAAGGAGTAAGTTTCAGTTTTTTTCTCAGCTGTTTATTTGCATGAGTTCAGGCAACCAGGTTTTAGATACTACTCTCTAGAGTCACTTGATTAAGAATATAGCATTTATGTTCATATGGCATATTTGCCCATCTCTTATGCCACAAAGTTCCTCCAGAATAGTCTACAAAAGAGTTTAACAGAATGAAAATATATTTTTGTGTACTTCCCTGACATTCTGCATGTTGCTGAATGTCTGATTTTTTTATTGTTATTTTTCTTTTTTCTTTTTCTATTACATGTATTTGTGTCAACTCTTTTTTGGTTTCAGAAATTCTCTGGGGACTCTGTGTTATCTCAACATTCCTGAGTTTCACAGTTGCCTGTGAACTTTTAGACAGCTTTCTAGTCATTCATTGATCTGTGTAGACTTGTGGAGTACTTAACTTTGAAACAGGTGTATGTGGAATTTGCTACACATATTCTTACAGTTCAGTAAATTACCATTTATCGATGTATTCTGATTGCAATATCTTAGCCAGTTTAATTCTTCAACTGAGAGTACAGGAGATGGAGTGTCCCATGCTTTTCCTAGTAGCTAATCCGAAGAGTTGCAGATCATTTATGTGCTTCACCTTGACCAAGAACAAGGCATATTTTAGGGTGGAGCAGGTATCATGTGGTTTTTTTGTGTTGATTTTAATTCAACTTAAGAAAGCGATCTCATCACTGCAGCACGAAGTCCAGCTGTCTTGATAAGCTGGTGGTAGCATGAGAGTTAATACCCATCTTCTGTCTTTTCCACAGAACGCTCTAGCTCTGACAGTGCTGTGCTGTTAGAGTGCTGAAAGATGTCTTATACTGTATTAGAAGACGGCGATGATCTCTTTGGCCTTTCTCTGAATGTTTTTGTCAGAAGAGTATCGTAGTTAGGGACTGAAGGGGTTGAGTTTTACATGAAGTATGCTCAAGAAGTTTCTCAAACTGAATTACTCAGTCAAAATGTGTCACTAATAGAAGTCTTTGCAAATTAACTGAATGTTTTCTCTCCATATACTGCTTGGATATCATCTTATCTAGTGTTAAAACTAACTTAACAGACTAAAACCCAAAATGTTGTGGTACGGATATCCCCTCATTAATGTGTAGTATGAAATATTTGTACACTACAAACAGTTAAATATTTGCATGATTATTCTATATTTTGGTCTGTTTAGTGTGGTAATATGGCACGAGAAGGACTGCGTACTCTGGTTGTTGCCAAAAAATCACTGACTGAAGAACAGTATCAAGATTTTGAGGTATGAAGGGATAGAATGATCAATATTATTAGCACAGCTCTTTTGCTTTGTCATATTTAGATGCTTCAAGGGGAGTGCTTCTATTTTTGTAATTAAGATGGTAAGGAAGAACATTCATAATTAAAATATTGATAATTATCGTGTGCTCTCTTTGTCATTAGTTAGTAACGCTTCTGCAGTCATACAACGGATACTGTTTAGCTTTATTGTATATTTGGATTATATCTTCCCAGAAGATAGCCTAATGTTAATTCTGTGGCTTCAGTGTGGGCTAAAAATCTGCTTGCCCTCAAAAATGAGAGCAGTTGCTGCTGTGATGCCTAATTCTTAGTAGGTATTCGGAAGCTTCTCTCTTGAGATAAGCTGCTGGAAAAAAAAACACATATAACATTTATAGTTTGTGAAGTAAAATTTGTTCTTTCAAACATTTGCTGTCTTAGAAGTATTTAAATACAAATATATAGCCCGATGAAGCCATGTTATAACTGATGGATAAACTGGATGTGCACTTTTAAGTCACAGCAATGTCTTTCTAAGTGATTTTGTGTTTGTGCAGAGTCGATACAACCAAGCAAAGTTAAGTATACATGACAGAACCCTGAAGGTTGCTGCTGTTGTGGAGAGTTTGGAGCGAGAAATGGAGTTGCTGTGTCTCACTGGAGTAGAAGATCAACTGCAAGCAGATGTTAGACCAACTCTAGAGATGTTAAGAAATGCTGGAATAAAGGTACTGAAAACATATTGCTGACATACAGGTTATCGTTTATTAACTTTTTTATACAGATACATGAATTATGTCTGTATACAGTCAGGTTCATACATGCAAGAACTAGGCAAAGTCTTAAGTATGTGCTGGGCATAAGCTAGCAGACACAAATAGGCGTTATAGAGGAATTTCCCTTGTCCTCCACAGATTTCTTTGCAGAAGCATGCTTCTATAGGATAACTACCCACAGAAGAATTTATGCAACTTCTGTCCTTTCTTCTCTTACAGCCCGCTACAGTAAGCTTTCCTACTTGAAATTTATACTAAAGGAGTTAGGCACAAGAGTCATGTTACAATTTTCAGATTTGGTACTTGTGAGAACTCTCAGCAAAGATCAAAAGGATGAATTATTTGAGCTAGAGTTCAGAACTGCCCTTGGAGTTTCTTCAGGTCGGATTAAAGGTGCAATGTCAAAGTTTTGCACAGGAGGCTGTGCTTTGTTTGGGGTGCTTCACTCTTGGGCAGAGCATGCTAGAGTGCTATCAATGACACATTTAGAAGTAATGGATTTGTTTGAGAGAGGGTTTGAAGGAAAGATGTGAGGAATATTTATTGTCTGAGGGGAGTGGGTAAGATTATATAAATTCTCCTTAATGTAGAGCGCCGTATTCTTTGCAGAGAAAAGATGTGTTGACGTTGCATTGGTTGAACTGAATCAGATAGAGCGTTTGTTTTGCTTGAAGAGGTCATTTTGCTTTGCAGGGAGGAGAGGAAGCCTCCCTGTAAGTGAGGGAACAGCAGACCGAGGCTTGTGGATTAATCGAGTTAAAACTGTTAACTTACCTGGTAACTGTCCGCTAATAACTTGTGCGGTTTAGGACATTCTGTCTTCTGCCATCTGTTCTAGCAGAAGGTCTAGGTTTGGTCTGGGGCCCATGGTGCATCCTTCAATTTTTTTAGTGTTAAGGGGTAGAGGGAGAAGGAATCTGTCTCTCTGTGAGAATAAATGGATCCTCAGCTTTATTTTTTGATCTTTAAGGAATGCCTTCACCCCAGTTCTGGATGGTCAGTGGGTAGGATTTCTTTGGAGTACTTGGGCTGATCTGCCATCAGGAGATACTGTTGATAATTTGGCTGCTGCTTTCTGACAGGTTCTCACTGGGACCAGACAGTTATTTTGCGTAATGTTACTGGGTTATCTCCTTAGTTTTCTGTTTTGCAGTTAACTGCGTGCTCTGTCTTTTGATCAAGATGGTATTGGGCCATAGGGAAAGGCTTCTCTGCTTTTTCTGTTGTTGGGTTCTCAGTGGGTTTCCAGAGTTTCCCCCCATCCTCATGGAAACTGAGACACTGGCCCTTGTGAAAAGGGAGGAGGAAGGGAAGCTGCTTAAAGTCAAAATAGTTTTCTTCTTTGTATGTTACTACAGTAAAAACTATTCATTAGTTTTCGTTAAAAATGCACACATCGGTATATTTTCACCAGTAATCTAGTTGCTCAGGGTACCAGAAAAAGATCGAGGAGAGATGTCATTTAGATTTGGAGAACAGTGACATTAGCGTTGAACAGAATTAACTTTTAAATTATTTTACAGATATGGATGTTAACAGGAGATAAACTGGAGACAGCAACTTGCATTGCGAAAAGTTCTCACTTAGTATCTAGGACTCAAGATATTCATATTTTCAGACCTGTAAGTATAGTTGCAATTTTTTTTACTGGCTCATCAAAGGAGAGTTAGGCTAATACCAATGCCGCTTTATTTGTTGGCCACTTGTTGCGAAAGATGGTGTGTTAACTATAGTGGGTGTCGTAACAGTCAGTAGAATAATACTTAAATTAGGCCATTGTTCAAGGATCTAAAATTATAAAGCATTGCCTCTGTTTGAGAGGGTTTTTTTTCCAGATATCTTGATAGTCTCCAAAAATATGTGCATTCATGACTGGGTGACCAGGTTCTACCTGTGTTTCACATTCTTCCCTTACACAGCGCACACAGAAATGCACCCCTGAAGAATGATGAACAGAGGCCTGTGTAAAGTGCTGAGCCAGTAGCTTGTAGTAGTCTGCAGGAATTCAGATTGAATCTGAATACAGTTCTTGCTTATTCCATTATCTCTATTAATATAGTTCTTCAGAATTAGGCAGACGTACTTCTGAATTAAACTGTGATGCCAAAGGTCACTGCGTAGACACAGTTCAAATCAAAATCAGAAAATCAGAAATGTTTTGTCTGTTATGATTTTCCAGTAAACTGTTTGCACTCTATTAACAATCTGTTTAAAATAATTGTTAGAGAAGTAAACTGATTACCTGCTTCTGTACATTTTTGTTATAATTGCATAGCATCAACTCCACTGAGTTCAGACAAAAATAAAGATTTTCCAGATGTTGATTGATGCTGTGTGATCAGACGTAATATGTCTGTGTTTGTTCTAAATGAACCACTTGCACCTACAGAAATAATTATTTGAATATAATTTACATGTAAATGTGGTTTCTTCTGAAGCATCAGAATGGCAAATTAGGCCCTGCAGACTACTATTTGCAATTAAATTATTAATGCTTCTGATAAAACTTCAGATCAATTTTTGTTGACCTTTCCGTGTTGTAACACCACAAATTAAGTCTTCCTGAACCAAATCTATTTAGTTTGAGTCAGATTTTTATTTTCATTACCTCATCTAATAGTAAGAGATAAGTATAAAACTGTGTTAATTTAGAATACATGAAGTTTTAAATTAGTTAGAAAATAAATTTATAGAATTATTTCTGTGGCTGTATTTGTTGCAAAGAAATAACTAATAGATTAACCTAAGAAAACACCAGGCACTTTAACACTCCTATTTTAAATATAAATTAGTAAATGAAATGTTTACTACTTTGGCTTTCCAAAAATATGCGTTTTTTTGATGCTCTTCTGTATTGTTCTAGAGAGACTTAAAAAAAAAAAAAAAACACCTTCCTCTATTCGCTGAAAAGTAGGATAGAGAGTGGGCAATTAATGCTCATTAGTATGTGCCAAGTGCTGACATATCTTAATCTCTGTAATGTGGGCCTATGTGATTCTTGGTCCCTAACAGTTGGGAGAGTAGGAGCTTTCTCTGTACATATTTAATTCTGGGGAAGGTGGGGGGAAAAATGTGAATTCAGGTGTGTGTATGGATTTGGCTGTTTGCAGGTGCACTTTAATATAGCTCAATTTACTGTGAGTCCCTTCAAAATCTGATGGTAGTGTAAATTTTTGATGTTCCATGTTCTAGGTGAAACCTTCTGAAATCCATTTGGTAACCTCTAAATCATTTTTCATTTCACAGCTAGGCCTCTCTGTAACAACAGTAATGTAAACAAAAGTTGTATAATGTAATCCTTACGTGTTGTGCCACTTGATCCTGCACACTTGTGCAAGATCCAGAAGGATTAGTGCTAGTGAGCATTTTTCTGTGCCTCTTTAATTCTCTACATCTGCTTATCCAAACTGAAGGGACTATTAATATGAACATCTTGCGTTATTGTAAAAGTACATCTTACAGGTTAATAAACAAATTCATTTTTTTCTGAATTGGGGTGCGTTTTTTCCCCTAGCCCTGCCTAGATGGAATTACTCAGGTCAGCTTGAACCTGAGATATTTTACAGTGGGTTTTTTTCTCTTTTTTTTTTTTTGTTTGTTTGTTTTTTTAGCCCGAGTTCACCTTGAGGAACCAATTACGCTACCTACACAGATCTTTCTTGTGCGAAAATTACTCTTTCTCCTCCTTGTAGACACATTCTGTGGGCATTGGGCATGCATTAGGTAAAACACTAGTTCAAGAATCAAGACTTCCTGGGTTTGGTTTCTCAAAGTCTGATTTATTTTGGGAGATTCTTTTAAGAATATAAGAAAATATTTTAATTGAAAGTTTTTTTGTTTTTTAAGGTTACCACTCGAGGAGAGGCTCACTTAGAACTAAATGCCTTTAGAAGGAAGCATGATTGTGCCTTGGTAATATCTGGGGACTCACTTGAGGTAAGAGCTCAGTTTCTGTCAAAGTATATTTATCTGTATCCTTATGTCCAAAAATTAAAATATTAGTGTCTTCATGCTCTTAAATGTTTTGCAACATTTGTCTATGCTTTAAATTGTTCTTACAGTTACTGTCACTTTTCATCGAGGGCTAATCAGAGGATATGTGTTCTAGACAATCAGATTCTACTGGTTCTCTGGTCTTCTGTATAGTGACAGAATTTAATTTATATACAGTATGATCTAGTACTTTTGTCTCTTCTGTTAACCCCAAAGAGTGTTAGCCAGCCAAAAGAGAAAGGAATGGCAGTCTGCAATAAAAAAATCACAGTCAGCAGAACGTGGGGGGGGGGGTCTCCCAGATGGATGTTGTGCAAGCAAAACCTCATAAGAGAGCATTTTTTATGCTGTTTTCCTGTTAGACTATGTGCAATGTTATTTAATCTTAAAAATAAATGTAAAATGCGTTTTTTTTCCGTAGGTTTGTCTGAAGTACTATGAACATGAATTTGTTGAGTTGGCCTGTCAGTGCCCTGCTGTAGTGTGCTGCCGCTGTTCTCCCACCCAAAAAGCCCATATCGTGAAACTGCTACAACACCACACTGGAAAGCGCACGTGTGCAATAGGTAACTGTTGGTACTATCTTCATGTGCAGGAGCTAAAATCTGTAATAAAGTTAAGCAGTAGATGGCACCATTGAGAAGTAGTTGAAACAAAGCCAAAGGCATCTTTATTAACAGCTAGGTATTACATAGCTGAATATTGCAACTCTTTAAGAGAGAGAACCTTTCTCATTACCTGAGAAAGGTGTGGTGATTTTTTTTATTCCACAGGAAAAAAGCCTTGGTTGCTGAAGTCATTAGTCATAAACCATAGAGTAGCTGTAAAAATTTAAAGGTATATAAGACATTGCTAAAATACTTAAGGCCAGGAGAGTAAAACCTCTGAAGAGCTGAATGTTGCAGTCACGTTTTCCAGGTGATGGAGGAAACGATGTCAGCATGATCCAAGCAGCCGACTGTGGAATTGGAATTGAAGGCAAGGTAATGTTACCAGTTTCGTTGTCAAATATGTGACCCGTGATAGTATAGTAATATTAACCTGGAAGCTTTATTCTTAAAACAGTAACTAACTCCATGATTCTAATTAACGTATGCTGTAAGATGATACAAGAAACTTAATCTTTGAACTAATACTTCTTTGCTCCTATATCCTCTGCTTTATCTTTTTAAATATGAAACGCAAGAAAGGCAGGAAACACTATAGTTATTTTCTGTATGTATATGCATTTACAGGATAGGCAAACTTACTTGTTATAGCTACTGCATCGTAAAACACATACTAAAGATTGCCCTTTATGTCATGTTGCGCGATTGATTTCTGCAGCAGGAGCCAATTTTACTTTTTAGCTGGATTATCAGTTAGAATTTTGAAATTTGAACAGCACGCTCTACACTCATTTCACTTCTGGAATATTTTTGTTTTATTCTAGGAGGGAAAACAAGCATCCCTAGCAGCTGACTTTTCTATCACACAATTCAAACACATAGGTAGGCTGCTGATGGTACATGGTCGAAACAGTTACAAAAGATCGGCAGCACTTGGTCAATTTGTCATGCACCGAGGCCTTATTATTTCAACTATGCAGGTATTTAAAACTTTGTTTTACTTAAGAATACCACAGCTCTTTTTTAACACTTCAAAATCTTAAGCTGTATTGCTATATTTTTTGTTCTTTATTATAATGTTTTGTATGTACACTTACATTAAAAATATATTTTATTGGTGACTTCTGTTTTGTGATTTTTATTTGTTTGGTTTATTTTTAGGCTGTATTTTCATCAGTCTTCTATTTTGCATCTGTTCCCTTATACCAAGGATTCCTAATGGTAGGGTAAGTTAAAATCAACAGCTATGGTATCCAGTAATAGTTATGTCAAACTAACTTTTTTTTTTCTTAATTAACACCTCGTAGCTGGTTTCTGCCATATTTCTCGTACATTTATCACTGGTACGCTAACAAGACCTGGAATGAGTCTAGAAAGAAAAAGTCAGACTCAAGTTGGTTATGCACTGCCTGTGGGGAAACATCATTTTAAGTTCTCTGGTGAGAGGGATCTGCTTAGCTTCAGTAGAAGGCATCATGTAGCTTTTAAGGCATATGGGGTGAAAACAATGGAGGAAATCTCATAAATCCGTTTCAGCTGTAACACTGATTGCTGTACAGCCCTCCGTGAGAATCCCGTGTGCTTTTGACTGTTAAAGGGAGCTGAAGCTACTAGCTATGAAATTCCCTCTGAAAGGGCACTGCACCAAGTCTGCTACATATGTTTCCATTTTGCTGAATGCATGCAGAATTAGAAGCACCCTGATCTTGTTGCAAAAGCTGCTTTAGTAGTATAGTTCCCCCAAGTCATGCAGCTGAGGTATGTGCCTGTATTCATGCCTGTCCCTGTTCTCTTCCCCTTCTGTCCTAACAGCTTCTTTTTATACTTCTTGTTTTACTTTATCTTAACAATAGCAACTTTAATCATAGCCACATTAAGGTCTGATTACAACCGGCACTGCAGAGGCAAAGAGTAAATTCTTGTAAATAGTCGTGCTAGCCCCTAGGAAAGCACGTACTGTGTGGCCTGCAAATACACAACTGGCATGTGCGTACTAAAGTTCAGAGCCACTTGCTGAGCTGTTAAGACCTTTTCTCATCCACTTATACTGTGATGTCAGGAACAAAGCACTTGTTTTTTCTTTAATTTTCTTGGCATCTTTTATGAATGATTGCTCGGTCTTTGAAATGGTTGCAACAATGCACAGTCAGTATGGTAACAGACAATAAGGTTGACTGATATATGCAGAAGTGTCTTTATTATTTTCACTGTGTGTAAAAGTTCAGTAACTTTTCACAGTTGGCAGCTCTCAGAAGCCTAAGACCAGATTGCATTTGCAAAGCTATATTGGTAAGCTACCTCAGTACTGGGTAGAACCACCAGTTTAACTCCATTACCATTAAAAGAATAACTGATCTCAATAGATCAGTTTGATGTTTTTCTACTATGCAATTTTAATTTATGTGCTTTCTCTCCACCTAGGTATGCAACTATATATACTATGTTTCCAGTCTTCTCTCTAGTATTGGATCAGGATGTGAAACCAGAAATGGCATTGCTATATCCAGAACTTTATAAGGATCTCACAAAGGTATAAACATCCTCGGTGCTCAGATATGAGCATGTGTTCAAATCTGTGGTGTGCAAAGATACCATAACTGTGAATTCTTATTTAAGGTATTCTAGGCAAGACAGATGCATAACTAATGTAATGCAGACTCCTATGTTATAAAAATAATCCACAGAACCAAATGTTTTGCTCAGCGCTATTAATACAGCTGTTGTTAAGTCAACAATGGTTGGACTAAAATAATTCAAACATCAAAGTATATTGATATAAAAGTTGCTTTCAGTCTGACTCTAGGATTTCTGGTGTGGAGGGTTTTTTAAGCTTACTCTTTCACAGCTCTTTTTGCTTTTAAACTGATCGATTAATTTGTAGATTTATATTTTCCTGTCCCCCAGAAATCACTACTGACCTCTCCAAAAGCAGGCTGGCTTTGTTTAAAAAATATATGTATATAAAAATAAAATAAGGGCTATTGATAACCGAAATGTCTTAACTGAATTGTCTGTAGTTACTGCTTTCTTTGTTTGCACACATCTGCAAGCGATAGAAGTGTATCATTTCTTTGCAAACAAAAGTGAATCCAATCTCAAGATTCTGTTTTCGTAAGTTATTTTAAAAAATACTTCTCTTCCTCCTTAAGCTGTGGTTCAGAACAGCTGCAGTCCAAGGCAAAACCAAAAAAACTCTTTCTAGAGACTTTAGATTCTTTCAGATTTAGACATATTTAAAAATTCAGAAGCAGACTTGAGTAGAAGAGAGACTAGATTTTCCAGAGCTTTGTAATTTGAATTTTATTAAATCAGCTATTAGCTGTTATTAGCTGTGTTCGTCTATGAGAGTTTTCTTCTCTTTTCTGGGGGGGTCTTGCTTCTCTTTCTCCTCTTTAGAACCTTTAAATGTTTCTTTATGCGTCTATGAGACTTCAGCCTATGATTAATCTCAAGAAAGCCTGGCCTAACAGCTGCTAAAAGGACTACTTTGCCTGTGGAAACCTGCTGATGGGACGTGAAAGTATCATATTTCCAAAGACAGAAGTTAACCTGTACTCTGAAAGTGCCTGGGAGGCAGACTAAGTTTTTGTTTAGGCTTAAATGGCAGTTCTTGGAATTACTGAATCATTTGACTTTCTTAGCTTAGATTGTACCTATATGAATTTTAAATAAGTAGAATTCAAATAATTCTCTTCAGAAGTGTAAAAAAAAAAAAAAAAAAAAAAAGTGTGGAGAAACTGGAGGGTGCTGTTCAGTGTATTGTTCTGGGCCAAAAGATGATGGAACAATTATGGATGAGTAGTACAAAAAGTTATTCATGTGCTTTACACAAGCTGCATTTGACTTCAGTATTGCAATGTAATCTTATTTTGGGTGTTTATTATAACGACTTGCAATCATACAGCATTAGTCATGACACTATGAAGCATACCTTTTTCTGCACATCCCTTTTCAAATTATGGGCTCTAAATGCAAATCTCTACCAGTGCTATTCAGCTAGTGTTACTCAAACACGTATTGACATGGGCTAGAATGACCTTCCTAGGGCTTGTTTGCTTTTCTGGGCTATACTGGTGCTGAAAAAACTCTTTGGAGTTTAAAAGAAAAAAGGGTGTATTGCCACAAGTCACTGACAGACTCTTTCTCTGTTGCAGGAACAAGAGAAAATAAGCAAAGTTTAGAAAAGTAGGTGTGGTCATATACCCTGGAGGAGACGCAGTGATTCAGTATTGCTCTTACTGTGTCTCCTGTGGAGCTATAGCTAGAAAAACAGATGAAAATTGAAAAGGAGGTACCAGCAAGAGGGCTCCCTACTTCTGTCTGAAAATGGTTCACTGCCTTTTGTGCAGCGTTTTCTAGAGGCTCAGGAGTGTATTTACCCTTTCTAGTTCCATAAAGGTGAACCGAAACTCAAGCTCATTCTTATTTCACAGATCTCATTAGTTGGCAGCTATGGTTTACGGTGGAAGCAGTGCCCAGTACTCAAAGAAAAATAAGTAGACACTCACAGAGGGGGTGAAAAAAGTAATTTTTTTTTCCCTTGTGCCAAAAGTTTTTCCTATTTAGTATGCCACCAGCATTCTAGACCACATTCAGAATTATTAAGATGTCTTTGGCATCTCATCATTAACTGTATGTATCCAGAAAATATTTTAGCCTGTAGTGAAGTAATAGAGCAAGTTAGTTAATCACTTTCTACAGCCACAATGTTTCTGAAGCACCTTTGTGAAGGTCTGATTCTCACCTATTCTAGTACGATCATTTCTTTCGTGGCATAATGGCTGCTTTCTTTGTCATCTTCTCCTTTTAAATGCTCACCTTTTTGACTCTGTTGCAGTTCTAACATAATTCATCAATACTTTCACAGGATGCAAGGCTCATATGCACATGTACAACAGTATTGTTTAATTTATGCATACGATTCAAACAGTTTATTTACTATCACAGTAAGATGACACAGTGTATTTGCTAATAGCTGCTTACTGAAATGTTAAAATAGTGGTCCTATGTTTATTCTACAAATGCAGATAGCTTGTCTGATATCCAGAAGTGACTAGTAACGACAGTTTTACTTGAGGTTTAGGTCAGTAGGTACAGAATGCTATTTTTCTTGATGAGTACATTCGAATAAGCAGACATAAAAACAAAAATAAATAAAATTTAATTTCATTGTAATTTTCCCTCTGAAAAACAACTATAGCACTGTAAGCTCAAATGTAGATTTTTCTATTTAAGGCCTTAACCGTCCTACCCCACATTCTGTCTTCATGTGATTGCTACACAAGTTTGCAATAATGAGTCATAAAAGCAAGCAGAAGCTTTTTAGCCCATATCACTTGAGAGAGTGCTTATATATTTATATATATGTCTCTCTAGTGCCTAGCTATTTAAAAAACTATATGAATCAAGTAGATTTTTTTAAATTATGTTTAACTATCCTCTCTCTTGCTTCCCTTAGGGAAGATCTTTGTCGTTTAAGACCTTCCTCATCTGGGTTTTAATCAGTATTTACCAAGGTAGGAGAGATTCCTAATTTTACTGAACTGAGAATTTTTTGTCTGCTATTAACAGTATTGTTTTTCAGCTGCAGGTTGAATTCCCAAAGCTTAACATTTCATCAACAGTTATATATATTACCTTCTGTTTATCTTGTAAATCGATATTCCTGTAGTGTGCCAGGCCTATTCACAATGCAGTGTGGATTGGTGTTTTTATTGATGCACGTCGCCTAAAAAAGGACATGTTTTTAATTAAATGCTAATCCACAAAAAATTTTTGAGTGCTTATCACATTGCATTCACTTGCACAGTAGTTTTCTTTCATGGAATGACAGAAGTACTGTTGAAGAGATCTGAATTATGTAGTCAGTTAAAAGTAATTACACTTTCAACAATCTCTCATTTATTTGTAGCACTAGACAAAATTAGGTTAATTAACAGTTCATCAGATATATTGCACTAAAAGGTGTTTAATAGTTTTATTTCCTTACAGTTTCACTTTGTTCTGTTTCACCCACAAAGTACAGTATCACTGCTCTTCTCTTACACACTTCAGTGTTTTTGTTACCTTATAAAAATTAAGAGAAAGCTTCTGTAATAAGTAATAAAATGTTCAGTGTGCAGTTGTGGAAGATAGTACGCTAAAATATCGTTGCACAGTATATTTTTAACTTTATGTGCCTTTTCTAGGTGGTATTCTGATGTATGGAGCCCTGCTGCTTTTTGAATCCGAGTTTGTACACGTTGTTGCCATTTCCTTCACTGCCCTAATCTTGACGGAGCTCTTGATGGTTGCGCTGACCATACGAACATGGCACTGGTTAATGGTGGTGGCTGAATTCCTCAGTCTTGGCTGCTATGTGGCCTCTCTTGCATTTCTAAATGAATACTTTGGTGAGTAATAGTAAAAGTATTTTGGCAAAGAACTGTGCTTTATGACATACTGTCGTAATGGTTTTCTCATTTGGCATTACGAATGAGTGAATTACAGCCTTCTCCCGAAGAAATGCGACTATGGCTTGAAACTAGACTTATTTCCTAATAGGTTAAAATGTTTTCTTGTTCTGTTTTCTCAGGATTTGACAGTTTTTTCTCCTGTTAATATGATTTATCTAGATGATAAACTTTACTCAAGCTATACATGCTTTCCCTTTTCTTCTGTCTGATCTTCCAGTAGCAATCCAAACTGCTTATCTTAAATTGGCTTTGCGATTTGCACTACTGAAATGGATGTGATTTAATAAAAATTAATCTTCAGTGTTCTTCAGGATCTTTGACCTGAGCTGATGAATTATTTTGTCTGCGCCAAGAAACCAGACCAAGTGGATCTCATTAGATCTAATCCAAAAACTTAAGAGCTTATATATTGCTTAACTAGAGAGTGAGGCAGAAGGCTATTAGGATATTTTATGTAAGAAACATTTGATTTCATAATTATATTAAGCTTATATTAAGCTTTGCTTTGTTTTAAATTGCAGTATGTCGTACTGTGTCTTACAGTTCTAATTGATCATAAATGAACTCTATTCTTAGTTCACAAGATGAAAGGAGGGAGCCAATTTTAACTGTAAGTCTTAACAGTCAAGGGTTTGAGCATCAAAATAAACTCTGGCCAACTGCACTAAGACTTTTCTCTTTTAATCAAATTATCCTTCAGTGAAAACGGGCATCTCGGCCATAGTGTGATTTTTTACAAATGTAACTTACAGAAACATATATAACAATTTTGATTATGCCTCAGAAGGAATAGAATCCAGCTCCTCCCCTCTGTTCTTCAGGAGCTGATGAGTAAACTGCCTTTCTCAAATTATTACTTCTCATAATAGAATTAAATGTTACATGCTAGTTTCTAGGACTCTGAATTCTGCTTTCACTCTCTCATGTCCCATGTATTCAATGCTAGAGAAGTGTGATTAGGCGATATAGTTTTTTTTTTTTATATATATAAACAGTAAGTGCTCCAACGCCTGTCTCAGGTGTTTTGTTACTTCCCAGATTTCAGGAGAGTCTAATTTTAATGAAGAAACAAGCCTGCTGGGTTTGATACTTGTATTACACGTTCCTTCAGGTTTTCCAGAGTTTCCTTTCCCTTTTGCTTTGTTTCTCTGACGCTGATGCACAGACAGTTTAATAGAGGGTACTGGGTTGAATCCTGAATCTCTGCAGTCAGATTGCAAATGAAAGGAACAAGCGAGAACACATACAGGCACGATCTCTTTCGTCCAAGCTTCCAGTAACTTGTCATAAAACAGAATTTGCCGCTTCACCTCTGTAAGTTTTCTTGTTGGTAACAGCCAGTCCCTGCATCCTTTGTAGGTATTGTTCAGTGAGAACAGTGGTGTTCACAAATGTGTGAAAATGTAGAGACCGTCCATTTCTCGTAAGCCCCCCCTGTAAAGGGGAGTGTGTTGTTATTCCCCTGTGTTTGCTAGTCAAGTCTGAACAAATGAATAAGTACACAGTTACATGGCTTTTTGCAGCTTAGGGATTTGACTTCTGTATTTTTCGTCTTTACTGAAGAGTATTTTAAAGGTACAAAAAAGCTGCAATCGCATGGGCTGTTGTAAAGACATGTTTTCTGTGTATTATTCACCAGCTGATCTGAGAAAATGTTTGTTAGGCCAACTTCTGCTTAATACTTTACTCTTACTTAATCTGTCAAATTGTAGTTTTGTTTGTGCAGAGAGCCTCTCTTGTACATGCAAAGTAGTATAAAACTAAGTGATGGACCTTCGCAATTCAGAGTCTGGAACAACTTCCTTGTATCAGGGAAAATAGTCCAGTCCAACAGTGACTTGATTTTACAGGCAAATAAACTATTTCCTTCTGTAACTTCACTTCTTTTGAACATCTTCAGCTCTCAAAAGAAATGACACCGGGAGTATAACAACTCAAATTAGGAAGACAAACACTTGATATTACCCTACGGTTCTGACTCATGGAAGTAAATCAGTTTTTAGGTTTTTATTTGAGTTAATTGCATAGAATGGCCTGATTAGACACATCCCTAAAACATGTTACATAGGCTTTTAGTATGTCAGAGCAGGCTTAGGCTGAAACTGTATACCAAATTTAAATACTGAAATCTAATGTGCGAAGTATGTATTAATGAGTAGAATTGGAGCAGTAAAGCACTTCTTTTACTGCGTCTTTCTGTAGTGAATTTTCGTTGATGTCTAAAACTGTGAGTTCTAATTAGGTTGCTTTACAGTAAATTATCTTCTGAAGTCAAATCAGGTGGTGTAAGAAAACTGGCTACTTATATTCTTTTAAACGTGATCAAATATAGTATCTATTTTTAAAATGTTGTTTTGCTTTATCTGCAATTTAAAATATATCAGCTTATCATATAAGGTGATAATATTCCAGTTAATGCTAACATCTTTCTCATTGCCTTTTTGTGCAGCTAATCTTTTAACTGATTTTTTTCATACAACTTTTCTGTTTTCTGTAAATCTATCCCTTCATTTTCCTTCTCCTTCTTTATGAAACAGGTATAGGCAGAGTGTCTTTTGGAGCTTTCTTAGGTAGGTGAAGTTTAACTGTACTTGAAGATCAAAAAAAAAAAAAACTTTTAAAAATCATTAATAGTAAATTATTCAATGTATTCAATTGTAAATAATGGAAAAGCAGAAAAAAATGAATCTTTGGTTTATCTGGGTTCTGGGATCTTTTCATATTTACGTTCAATCTGACTGTCGCAAATATGGTCAGAAAATTTCAGCAGCAAGTGTAGGACATCACCATCCTCATTAATGTTTTTCAGGAGACAATAGTTTTTGACTGTGCTTCATGGCAATATAATTAAGTAAAATATATCTCCAAAATTAACAGAAAATTAAATTAATTTAATCTCTAAAGTCTTCAGAAACGTTCGGTTTGTTTATTGTGCCTGTTTCACAGAAATAAATAATATGAATATTGATGGTAGCAGAATTTCTGGTTGGGAGCTTGTATTATAGTGGGTAACAAGCATTCTTAGCAGTAGAAAAGTAAGATAAACTGGCTGGATTTTTTTAATATGAAGAAGTCTCGCTCTTACACTGAAATCCTGTTTCCCCTAAAATTTTGTGTTGCAAAGCATTTTAAAGTGCATAAAGGGACACTGAAGTCCCTGTCTAGAAAAAATAGTTCAGTCAATCGACAAAAATAAAATGCTGAGATTGACTCTCTCTTTGTGTTCCAGATAACTAGTTGTTTAGTTTTTTGGGGTTTGGGTTTTTTTTTTTTTAAATTTTTGCAAAGTCTTAAACAATAGCGTAAGCAAACAGTTAAGTGAGATTTATTGACTTTGCACCATGGAAGTCACAGCTTCCATGTTATCAGCTCCCATTATTTATTTTCCTTTTTTATTTCTGCAGATGTTGCCTTTATCACAACTGTGACCTTCCTGTGGAAAGTGTCAGCAATCACTGTTGTAAGCTGTCTTCCACTTTACATTCTCAAGTACTTGAAACGCAAATTTTCTCCTCCGAGTTACTCCAAGCTTACCTCGTAAAAGTGAACATATTCCTATGGTATTTCACACATGCCAGTCTGCATATTGCACATTCACTGTGCTTTTGTGTCTATAGATTTGTGATGGACTAACAAAATAAAAGTCAAAAGTAATAGAGTGAGTGGAGCACAAAAAGAGGAAGCAGCTGACAGATACTATAACAGAGAAGTACACTAACAAGACTACCAGAAATAAACTAAATTTTCTTCATGTTGGATTTTTTTTGTTGTTGTTTTTTACTTTCAATCACTATGATTATAAAATAAAACTGAATTTTCTTTGAGTTGTCAATGCTTCTGAATGATTTCATTGCTACTGTAAAGGAATTTTCCCTATTGCACTAATCTGCAAGTTGAATTGAAAGCTTCTTTAATTATTACATGACTTCCTAATGGATTCAAGTCCTTTCCTTTAATGTTTATGTATAGAAAAGTTCATTCCTCCATACTTACTGTAACAAACCTAGTGGTGTAAATGCCATTGTCTGTATTAGCTGCTAAATATTATTCATCATCAGACATTGATTAATATGCACTATTTGAATTATGTACAGATGTCTGCATAGCACAGTATTACTTTAGGAGATGTTTGTCCTTTTCTGTACTCTCCATTTCTGGCACCAGTAAATATAACAGATCTGTGATGTTGACAGCAGTTCTTTAAATGCACATTAAAGCCCGGTTGCACAAAATCTGTTCAAAAAATTAAATGATAAATTCTGTACATAATTCCATTGCACCTGTTGATTTGTACAGAATATCAAAGGCGTGGCTGCTCAGTAAATACGTTTAAAAATTCTTACTCATTTTGTATTTGTAAAACTGCAAATAGTGTCAAAGTACATTTCTATATATCAGAAGTCCGGTAAATCTTGTATTAGCTAATATGTTTAAATTGCCTTTTAATCTGTTTACTTAGGTTACTCAGGTAAAAGGAAATGAGATGAACACATGAGCATTATGGTAGGAGAATCCATCATCTTCTAAGTTGTAAATGTTATGTTTTTATAACTCAGTTTGTCAGGTACAAACTTGCTTTAAAAAAAAAAACACAACAGTTTTTGCTTGTTGTAAACTGTCAGAGCTAGGTGTTTTCACTGAGTTATAACACTTTACAGTAGTTGAAGGTTGTCCCAGGAAGTGATAGTCTCTGATCTGATACAATCCGAAGGGTCAAAATCTTACGTACTGTACTGGGGTATAGGATATATTGCTTTAATTTCCCATTCTGATATGAATTTGCTTTCTCAAGAAGTGCATATAACAATTTTGGCATAGCCTGTTAATTGGTGGAAAGGAAAAGCGTAGTTATCCATGCTTTAATTATTAAATATTTATGTATGTGTTTTGAAACACTTCACATGGATGTCGTTTTTATGTTTGACTGTATACCTTTACAGCATAATTCCTTGTTCAGTCTCTTACAGCTTTGCCTTTATGCCATTGTTATATTGGATGGCTGATATGTAATGACAAATGTAACTACTTCCTGGGAGAGCAGAGGGAACTGCTGCGGAGCTATTTGGACTAAACTCCACTCCATTAATTTTCTTTTGAAGGTGTTTCTTATTTATCTGCTTTTTATTTTTAAAATTTTCATTCCTCATTATAAAAGCAATAAAGCCTGATTTCTACCAAATATTAGTAATGGCACCTGTATTAAACTATAGTAGTTTCTTTTAATTGCTTACCATTGCAATCGTAAGACTAGTTTGCGCTGGCCCTCTGCAAGCTCACTTCTGTAAAATCCCCACAAGATGTCACTATTCTTTTGTGCTAGCAAGAAGCCTTTCTTCATTTTAGGTAGTTTTGGCAAGGTATTGTTGATTTATATTTTTAGCTTAATCCTGTGATTTCCTTTGCTGATTTGTTTTAATTTTCCCCTTTTCCCAATAAGTGGTAATTTCTTTACACCAATTAACATACTTAATAGGCATGCTAACTAAGAAAAGTCACCAGTGTGCAGTTCTGAAATGTTAATGAAGTTTTTCTTCAGATCTTTTTGTCTTACTGGCTGTGAGCTCCAAACCGTGTGTGTACGATTCAGTGGGTAAGCAAGAGTTGAGAGAGACGTGGTCATCCTTCATCCAACATCCCACCTTTGACATGAGCCAGAAAATGAGAAAAATCGGAAATCAAACTAGCAGTGTGAAAGTGATACTAATATCTTAATATGGCTGTATGAGATAGTCATTTCCATGTGTACAGAATTTATAGTGCACATACTAATCTTTAGCATTAAAACTAATGTGAGGTTAATGTGACAGCAAATGTATAGATCCTACACACAGATATAATCGACCCCGCTCCTGAAAGCCTTACTCTAGAGCGCCTGCTTTCTTAGAGCATTTTCAGCATACAGCAAAGGTCTAGTTTCAGCTAGCACTTTATTTTGAACACTGTGCAGATGTCTGACTCAGGTGACTTACCTTGCTTTTGAGGTTCAATCCATGCAAACTGTACTAGGAGAGTTCGTTTTATATTAATTCATGTCACTCAGCCACAGCCCCATAATGGGGTAGCGTTACCTTATCACAGTGGTGTACAGGTAGCAGTATCAACACAGAATTTTAGCATTTTAATATGATATCTTTAATTAGAAAGCTGTAATGTATCATGGATTTCAGTACAAAGTAAATTAAGTACCCTCACAATGCCTGGCTCTCCAAACAGAATAGGATGGTAATGTCTGGTATGCGGGGGAATCAATTGTGTCTTGAGAATCTCTTTCTGTTGTCAGTTCACATTGGTATATCTCAGGAATTAAGTCTGTAGGACCATATCAGCGTACATAAACAGATATTTAAGCCTTGAATCTGCAAGTTACACCCATAAGGACCTGAGTCTTTTTTGGTATTAAATAAATGTTTACTTTTGTGAGCTGCTATATCATTTTTTTGTTGTTGTTGGAATGGTGATCATCCATTTGAAAACATATTTAGAAAACAGTTTCAGAATTGGGATAGGAAGAGCAAGATGTGAACAGGAAATACTTCTTCGCTCAAATAACATATTTGACGATATCGATCTGTTTAGACCATGTTAATAAGCTTATGAGCTATACCGTGTCTGGACTTCCTGTGTATTTTGTTGGGAGAACACAAGGGAAAAGAAGAGATCCTGCAAACACGAGTACTGATAATTATATCCCATTTCTTCTGACAGTAAACTGATGTGTTCATGTAACTGCTGGAAAACATTTTACTGAAGAAGGTATTAGTTTGCAAATGGAAGCCAAAAATAGAAGCCAAAATTAAACCCTTGCATATTTAACATTAAATCTGTGGCACTTTTCCATATTTGTTTTTACAAGAGTGTTTTTATGTTCCAACTGAGCTTTTGACACGTACCGTCAAAGTTCGACTATGCGATGTCTTCTGCTTTCCTCCTAAAATTTCTCAAAAGTGGTTGTCCAAACACATGCCCTTGCTTTTGTACTTATACATGAAGTGTGTGTTATTTTGGTCAGCATCCACTTGAGCCAGCCTGTACTGTAAATGTCCCCTTACCCTGTAGCTGCAAAATAGTATGGGCCTAACTCTTTTTCAGGCTCCTTTCAAAACACCTCTGCAAGTGGGAACTCTGCAATGGGGTACCTTTTCACACCTGTTCTGCAGGGATTTAAGCAAGAATTTTAATATTCACCTAGGCAGACAACTGTTAGGCATGGGGGTCAACCTCGCTAGATAAGGTTTCCCTGTATATTGCTCTTACTACACAGTTTGTATGTGTTAGAGAGTAGTCTTAAGCAGTATAATCCCTGTACTCCTTTGCAACCGTATTGCTGTGTCAAGGCATTCAAATCTCACTGAGGAAGAACCAGCCTCAGCTTTTCTGCTGATGAACTAGACGGTGCATTCCTAGGATCATCCTCCAGCTCCACGTGAACATGTGCGTCGGCCTGTGCTAGCGTACAGGGCGCTTGTGCAGTCCTTCTCGAACATCACTGGAGCTGGAGGCTGTTTGTGCCTGATCACCTTTATGCCTGTGCATTACCAACATGAGTGATGGTGAGTCAGGTCTTGGGAAGGGCTCGCTGTTTAACTGATGTTATAGGCATTCCTAAGAGCCTTTGGAGATGTGCTGTTTACAAAGTTTCCTGACCTGACCTCTTTTCCCACTTGCACAGAGCTCTGTGTCTCCTGAAGGAGGTTTGCATCTGCTTCGCACTTGCATCCTTTCATGTTCAAAGGTATTAATGTGGCTCCAACAGGCCCTGCAGGCCAACGAATTTAACTTGGCATGTGTGCAAACTGACAGCAGAGTCTAGGCAGACAGTGCCCCTTGAAAAGTGACAGCTGCAGAAGGCAAGGTGGCCATTCCGCTCACGCTGCTGGTGCAGAAGTTGTTCTTGTAGGTGCTCCTTTGCCCGGCATCCGTTCCAATTTTAGCTCAGGTGGAGTTTCTCCTTATTTTTGCCAGTTAGAGCAAAGAATTGGGCCAGCAGTCTCTTATTACACTTCATTTAATAACCTTTCTCTATCTAGGCTGTTATTATTATACCTCAATTGAAGCTTGAAGGCAATCAAAAAAGCCTTTCAATATGTTAGCCCCCTGTAGGGAGGAAAATCAGTACAAGTGAACAAAGACAACACAGATCGAACATTATATGTAAACAAACAGGAGGCACAATATCTTTAACACTGTGTTAAAAAGCATAGGAATTTCTTTTGTAAACAAAACACACTTAAAGCGAGATACTTCCCAACAAGTATTAACTACCCAACAGATGCCCTCAGCAGGGTTCACAGCTGTTATTGTGAGTGGGAATTTGCTCAGCCAATTGCCGACAAAATCTTTCTCAAATAGGGAATCACGCTCAAAGACCTATTTGCTACTCCATTGACCAAAAACATAGTTTTGATCAAGACGTTTTACAGCGGAGGTTGCACAAACTGATGCCTTGAACAGACTAATGAGAGAGAGCACTGTGCAGTTGTGTGTTCTCAAATTCTTTATTTTCCCATTCCTGAGCAGATTTTTAGCAAAACTGCAGCTGAAATGGCTCGTTATTGTAGTCCCTTCCTCCTCTCCAGCATCCTTGCAATTTTAGCTCATGATCTGTAATGCTGAGCCTCTAACTTGGCTAGAAAAAGGCTGGTTCTAGGAATACTTAGCCTTTTTGCATTACTGAGCTCTAAGAAAGGTCATCCACTTCAAGAAGAGGTGACATTATTTTCCATAACTAAGTGCGATAAGTGTTTATGGCGTGGCTGTTATTCCTCTAGCAGCAAACTAACGAGGTTTATTTCCTTTTCTATGGAGAAAAGTAATAATAATAATAAGGACTTTGGTTGCAGTATTCCTGTAGCTTTAAGCAAGCAGTATACAAAATAGAGCATCGAAATTGTTATTTGTAGAACTACTTTCCATTGTTTCTCTATAGTGTACACATTTAGTTTTTCCGTGATCCCCTCTGTGTTTTGTTGTGTTTTGCTCTGGGTTCCAAGCATGAATTTGATTTTGCAAAGTAAACACACATCATGTGGAAGCAAATTATAGATAACTACTTCAAAAGTCTGTTGAAAATTAATTCCTGGCTGTTTGGGCTGGGAGGGTGGGGGTGCTAATGGGTATTTTCTGAGTCGACCTGAAAGGGCTCAGTGCATCCCCATATGGTATGTATTTATGACAATCATCTACTGCCCATGTGAAGGAAAGATCTGGGAATTCTCCATCAAGATCCTCCCCTGGGGAAAACCTCTGTGCCACATGTGCTCAGTGGAGGAAGATGAGCTGCTGTCTCCCCTACATGTAACTGCTGGCTGCTGCCTTCTTTTGCTATTGAGTACTAAGTCTGTTTGCAAGAAGTACACCGCTACACATGCACTCGCATTTCCACCCATGGGGTCTGGCTCCCAAAGTACCTTTTGTCAGGATATTGACTTTGCCGTGATAGTCCTTTGAATATAACTGCTTACCTTGATCCCAGCCAAGTGGAGTTTAACCTAGCTGTAGGAGGTAAGTTTTCTATCTGAGTGCTATGGGCAAGGTAGGTAACACACGAGTGGTCTGGTATGCACTTACCCCTATCCAAATGCAGCCAAAGCAATCCTATCTGTGGTTCACAAAAGGTAATCTGCTGCTCACACTTAACTTAGGTTTGTGATGCCCTTAACTTGTGCAGATCAAGAGAAAAAAACAAATGTGGAAATCTTACCAAAGGAAAAAAAAAAAAAAAAGCCATTTGGTAACATTTTCAGAAAACAAGCTTACCCAAAGAGTTTTTTAAGTTTATGCATACCTGAAGGAGTAGAACTACTGAGGGAATTCGTTTGTTACAACCAATCTCAGGCACACAAGCTTGAAAGAAACAAACACAGAGTCAAAATACTATACATTTCTGACTAGCTCTACTATCAAGTCTGCCCCTGCTTACATTACAAGATTACAAAGAGGTTTTTTTCCCTAAATCAGAAACAGAGTATGCTCTGCCAGCATTGTCAAACAGAATCCCTGCACATTTGCCTGTTGTAGCACTGCATATGCATTGTCACATTATCTTTAGAATAGCAACTGTATAAATGTGTCTCAGTGTTTTGGTCCAGCTG